AGAAGATCTGAATTCAGTTCCCAGTACCTACATCAGGAAACTCTGAATTGGCTAATAACTACAGTTGTAGAGCTTCCTTCTGGCCTTCACAGGCACCTGCACACACATGTGGCATATACATAAAGAATGAAATTAAAAGCAAAACAGAAGCTGGCAGGGTAGTTGTCACCTATAATTCCCAAACTTGTGAGGTGAGGATGGAAAGATGGGTGAGTTTCAGGCCTGTTTGGGCTTACTAAAGAAACCCTGTCTTCAAAAATCCAAGGTGTGGGGAATATAACATTATAGTTGAGTATTTGCTTAGCATTTAATCTCTACCACTGCCAAATAAACAGATAAGTAAGCAAAGTACAGACACTTCTTCCAAACACCTTTCAGAACATATTTGATAATCTTTATTGTTTCTTTGGTGAAAAAATATATTACTATTTTTATATTGTTTGTTAGTACCATATTCTGTTTGTTTATTGTATACATGTGTGGGAATGTGAGCCACAGAGCATTCAGAGAACAGCTTTCAAATTTGTTTACTCCTTCCACCTTGTGGTTTCTGAGAATCATGCTTGGATCCATCCAGTCTGTCAACAGGTACCCACCGAGCTATCTTGCAGGGACCCTACGTTGGCTTTTCATGTTCATGTGGTTGTTTATGAACACTTGTGCAACTTCAGGTTTTTTTCAAGTCTTTCAAATATAGTCATTTTCCTGAAGTAATAGACTTTCAGATTTCATAGATAACATTTTCAATTGGTGTGTAGTAGTGTCCTGAACTACTAAAAACATCAAAAAAACAAAAAACAAAAAAAAAAGAAAACCCAACTTAGAATCATTTGATACCAAACAGTAGAAACAATGTAATTTCTAGGTTGAAAAGTTTTGTTTTTTAAAGAATAACTAGATAAGCAATTGATTGCTTTGTACCAGACATTGTGACAGGCATTTAAAAGATTCTGAAAGTTAAGATGATTGGGTTTTATAATTTCCCTGTTATCATATATTTATATTTAAAAAAGGAGTTATAGTAACAAGTAGTCTGTCCAGAACAGGGCATCTGATTGAACAGCTTTCCAAGTGCCCTTTCCCTTCTCCTTTTTTTTTTTTTTTTTTTTTGCCTTCCCTTTTCTTTAACATTGACCATGTATTTTTTATCATACAGAACAAATACTTACCTAAAAAATGCTTGTTTATAACTGCTTGTGTCTTGGTAGAAGTTTTCCATGTGGAAGTTCAAACAACTTTATCGCATCTAGAATTTAGTCTTTCAAACGTAGGATCTCTCTGTCAAAGAAACAACCTCCCTTTTTAAATTGTACTTTTTATTTACTTACTTTTATATGTATGAGTGTTTTGCTTACATGTATGTCTGTACACCATGTGTGTACTTGATGCCCATGCTGGTTAGAAGAGGGGATTGGATTCCCTGGAACTGGAGTTATGAATGCTTGTGAGCCACTGTATGGGTGTTCTACAAGATCTACAAGTGTTCTTCACCTCTGAGCCATCTCTCCAGCCCCCAGAAACAACCTTTTTAATGTTCCTTTATTATGTTTAGAATTTTCAGGATAAGCTTATAGTAGCTCCATGCTTTGGGGGAGTTTCCTCAAGAACTTGATGCTATGGTGGTCATTAGTGTTGAGTCCTCTAGACTACAAGAGTATGCCATTGCTCAGCTTCTGTCTGAATGGTAGATGTTTGGGGTTTTATTCTAGTAACAATATTGCAGAACTACCATTTATTATTTGTATATGTAAGCCCTTTACCTCTCCCCCCCACTACTTTTTTGAGATTTTGTGGTTAAAAAGTGCCTTTAGAGTTAGACCTTGATTGGGTTATTTATGGAACTAAATTAAGTCAGTTATAGTGAAAAAGCTTTAAAATAAGGAACTAAAGGATAATTTAGTTATTTGTAGTCTGTCAGGGTTCTTAGAGCTAGGCATTAACATGACAGATTTTTGGTTAGGTTGTCATACTAAATTCTGAGGACATTGGTGGGGATCCATAGGAAAGGAATTCTAAAAGGTGCAAGGTCAGAAGAGCCGTTGATGATATTTAGAATGGAGATAAAAGAAATAAGTGATTTTTGAGAGACAAGGCCATGTTTCCTGATGTAATATGTTAATTTACCAACAAATACGTGAGTTCCTATTTGTTACTTCTTCCCAGGACACTTCCTAATTCATGGAAAATTTAGGAGCAAAAGTTGCCTGTGTAGGTGTTCAATTTATTCATATATTTTTAGGTTAGGTTGTATGCCACAGACATGGAATAAAATACCATATTTTTGTATGATATTTATTTAGGATTATAAGCAGTATATTTTCATTAGTGTTTAAGAAAAGGATTAGAGTTAGACCTTGGGTTTGGCAAGATTGTATTATATCATATTTAATATTTAAAAGCATTATAATGAACCTTTTACTTTTAAATATTCTTTTCAGCCTGTCTTCATTCTATTCCTGGAAGAAAAATACTTTTTAATTTTACCTGTATACACTTGAGTGAGCATTATAGGCAGGTCAATCCTAGTTAGTAGGATTAAATAAAATCTGGCTCTATGCTAAGATATGAGTTTATTTTTGCAACAGCCACTCTGAAGTTTCAGGACAGAACAGCACTATAGTGGACATGCTGTACTGTAGATAGGTAGCACACCTGTAGTTTTAAGTATTTAAATATTGGAAAATGTGGATTTCTTTTTTGTTCTCTGACTCTAGTTTATTCTTTGCTTTATACAGATACCTTTTTTTAGTGGAAACATTTAAAATCTACTTGTTACTGGAGTTTCTTGTCCTGCCTGGTCCCACAGCTGCTTCTCAGCCCCAATTAAACTTACAAAGACTTATATTAATTATTAAACTTTTGGCCGATGGCTAGTACTTATTATTGGCTAGCTCTGTCTTAATTGTTAACCCATAACTACTAATCTGCTCCCCTTTGGGGGGTGAGGCCTTCCATAGGGTGTCATCAGAGTCTACCCTATCCTTTGGGATAGGGCCTAGGCCCACCCCCGTGTGTCTTGGCTCAGGGAGTATCCCTTTATGTGGAATGGGCTCTCAAAGTCCACACCTGTCATAGGGATAAGTAGAGGTCTGTAGATTTCCGAGGTTTCCTCAATGAAACCCATGTTTCTGGGGTCTGGGTCAGTCCCCTGCTGGTATCCCAGCTATCAGTCTGGGGACCAAGAGTTCCCGATGTTCAGCTGTTTCTGTGGGTTTGTTTCACCAGCCTGGTCTGGACCCCTTTGCTCATCACTTGTCTTTCTCTGCAACTTGCTGGTATCCCAGCTATCAGTCTGGGGACCAAGAGTTCCCGATGTTCAGCTGTTTCTGTGGGTTTGTTTCACCAGCCTGGTCTGGACCCCTTTGCTCATCACTTGTCTTTCTCTGCAACTGGATTCTACTTCCATCAGCTGCTGGATGAGGGCTATCGGGTGGCATATAAGTCAGTCATCAATCTCATTATCAAGGGAGGGCATTTAAGGTAGCCTCTCCTCTGTTACTTAGATTGTTAGCTGGTGTCATCTTTGTAGATCTCCAGACATTTCCCTAGTGCCTGATTTCTCTGTAAACCTAAAATGTCTCCCTCTATTATGTTATCTCCATTCTTGTTATCTTCTATTCTTGCCCCAACTCAACCTTTCTGCTCCCTCATGTCCTCCTCACGCCTCCTCTTCTCCCCTTCTCATTCTCCTAGCTCCCTTTCCCCTCTCCTGTGCTCCCAATTTGCTCAGGAGGTCTTGTCCCTTTTCCCTCCTCCAGGGGACCATGTATGTCTCTCCTAGGGTCCTCCTTGTTTACTAGCTTCTCTGGCAATGTGGATTGTAGGCTGGTAGACCTTTATGTCTAAAATCCACATATGAGTGAGTACATATCATGTTTGTCTTTTTGTGATTGGGTTACCTCGCTCAGAATGGTTTCTTCTAGTTCCATCCATTTTCCTGCAAATTTCAAGATTCCTTCTTTCTTTTCTTCTGTACTCCATTGTGTAAATGTAACACAGGAAAATGTGGATTTCAACTAGGATCTGTTATTACTACTGAGTAGGGTTATCATAAGAACACAGTTTAGCTAATAAAGATAGAGTGATAAAACCTGTAGTGCCTAAGAAATAAACTAAAATTTTACATGTAACTCATTCAGGTCTCCTTGGTTGTGTCAGACACAAAATGTATATTATAGTATTTCCTGCAATTTATTGTTTTAATTATTTTTTAGTTAGCAGTAGAACAAATTATTAGTGGGGTCTTTAAAATTATACTAGTGGGAATGGAGATATTGCTGAGTTGTTGAGAATACTTGGTGTTGTTGCTGAAGACTCAGGTTCAGTTTTCATTACCCACATGGCAGCTTAAAACTGTCCATAATGTCAGGCACCAGGCATGTAGATTGTACATACATGTATGCAGAAAAACACTCATACCTATAAAAATAAACATATATGAGGCATTCTGAATATTGTTCTGAACATTGAGTATAGAAGTATAGTCATACCTCAGTGATTGTCATGCATTCTGCCATTTTTGTCATTAGTAAGTAAACATCCTAGAGTGTGCTTACACAGACGGAGGCAGTGTAGTTTATTTACTACACACTTCGTTTACATAGTCACATACCGTATATGTGGTTTAGCTTGCAAACCTATACACATTGTCTCTGTATTGAATACTGTAGATATTTGTAGTTAAAGTATTGTGTATTTAAACATAGGAGAGGTTTACTTGTGTTGAGTGCTTACTGCATGAAGGTGGTATACATGATACTTTATGAACCAATATAATTCATTTATCCTAATACTTTTCCTTTAAAACAAAAAAACAAAAAAACAAAAAGTGGCTCATCAAAAGGTAGTTGGTTTTATTTTCTACTCATATCATTCTCATCAACCCTGTAGCTCCATAAATTTCAAAACGGATACACTCGAAGGTTGTGTTACAATTTAGTTAATGCAGTATTTCAACCCAAATTAGTTTCAGTAATTAAAAAAAATCTTATGTTTTTTAGCTAATGGGAATGACAACAAGAAATTTAAAGGAGATAGACCTCCCTGTTCGCCTTCCCGTGTTCTCCATCTTCGCAAAATTCCATGTGATGTCACCGAAGCAGAGGTCATTTCATTAGGTCTACCATTTGGCAAAGTAACTAATCTTTTGATGTTGAAAGGAAAAAGCCAGGTATGTAATATTTAAAGATTGACAATGAGTGATTATCTTCTGGGTGTTAGTATTTCAGATAATTTTTATTTTCTTGAACTTAAGAATTAACTAGTTGATTTGAGACAGGGTCTTTATTGCTCTGGTTGGTGTCAAATGCATAATCTCAAGTGACCTTTCTCAAGTTTAGTCATCTATGTATCTGGGGCCTCAGGGCTGTGTGTCACCCTGCTGTTCAGCTTTTCTTAATTATCCATGACCACAAATTAGTTCTTAAGTATATTTTTCCCCCTTGTATGACAGTAGACAAAAATTAACACAAAAAAACAGGAGTATTTCTTATCTACTGACTTGAGGTCATTTTCTTAAGCCCTGTTATGTATTTTACTTAGTTTTCTACGATAGGATGATTCTTAAAAATATCCTATAATTACTAGATAGCAAAGTTATTAATTATGCTTTGCCCAAGTAAGGAACAGTTAAGTATTCCATACTATGCAGTTATCACTATAAGCTAAAGATCTAATTGGCTTTTGCATGAGATTCAAGAATTGGGAGCAGCTAGACATGGTGGCATATACCTTTAATTCCAATACTAGAGAGGCAGAGGCAGAGGCAGAGGCAGTTGGATCTCTGTAAGTTAGAGGTCAGCCTGGTCTATATAGTAACTTCCAGGGCTATGTTGAAAGACCTGTAACAGCAGTAACAACAAAAGAGTTGGGTGCTACCTACTTCAGAATTGAATGTTTAGGGAGACATGACTGAATAGTTAGTGTTTTAAAAGTGTAAACAATTTTTTTTTTTTTTTTAAATGGCTAGAGATGTAGCTCAGTAGTTAAGAGCACTTGCTGCTCATGGAGATTTCCTAGTTTTACTTTCCAGCACCAGGGGATCTGACACCCTATCCTGAGCACCATGGGCACCAAGCACACAGGCAGGCAAATACACATAAAAAATAATTCTGAATTTTTTTTTTTAATGGATTAGTTTACAGTAGGCCACTTTTCTTATATGCGCTAAGTCGTCGTCTTCTTTTTTTTTTTTTTCCTGATTGCTGTGAATCTCCTTTGCTCCGGTCTGTTGTAACCTGTTGCTTTAGGCTAGACTAAAACAATGTCATTACCCTCATTTCATAAAATTATTGAATACTATGTATGTATTCAATAATATATTGAACACTATACTATTTATAGAATTATCATGGTCTACAGCCATACTACCCTGAACGTGTCTGATCTTGGAAGCTAAGCAGGGTTGGGCCTGGTTAGTCCTTGGATGGGAGAATCTTATAAGTTCTTTAATAATTTGAGAGATATAAGAGAATTTTCATTATATAAATGAGTTTGTACATTAAATTATTTTAAGATTTTATTACCTTTTTGTTCTTTCGTGAGTTTCATACATGTTTTGATCTTACTTACTCCCCCCTCTCCCAACTTTTCTCATATCACCTCCTTCCTACCCACTAAACTGTTTGCTTTTGTTTTCCTCCTCACCTTTCAGGACAAATTTTAATGAATACATGCAAATGTACAATTGCATATATGAAGCTGGGTGGTAGTGGAGCATGCTTTTAATCCCAGCACTTGGGAGGCAGTAGCAGGCAGATCTCTGTGAGTTCAAGGCTAGCCTGGTCTACAGAGTTGAGTTCCAGGACAGCCAGCCAGGACTGTTTCACAGAGAAACCCTGTTTCCAAAAAAAAAAAAAAAAAAAAAAAATTATGTATGAATGGAATGGGATACTACTTGATGTTTTAATTCATGAATACATCATAATGCTTGAATCAGATTCAAAACATCTGAAACCTTCCTTACCCCTACTTTTTGGTAAGGGTGGGTGGAGAGGGCAGTTAGAGATTGATCCTAGGGTTTTGCTTTCATTAGCCAAATATTTTACCTTTGAGTTACAACCTGACAATATTATTTCTTTATGATGAGAACATTTAAAATCCCCCTCTCCCTCCTCTCTCTCTCTCTCTCTCTCTCTCTCTCTCTCTCTCTCTCTCTCTTTTCTGGTTTTTCAAAACAGGGTTTCTCTGTGTAGCTTTGGCTGTCCTGGAACTCAGTATGTTGACTAGGTGAACTCAGAGATCTGCCCCCCTCTGCCTCGAAAGTGCTGGGATTAAAGGCTCGAGATACCACCCAGATCATTATCATTATCTTAAATTCTGAAACTGGGGGGATTAGACCCATTGATCAACTTTCCCCCCAAGTCTTTTGTCTCAGCCTCTATTCTTAACTTAAATGAGATCAACATTTTAAATGATCTACGAATTAGTGAGATAATGCAATGCTTATCTTTCTGTTTTGGGCATACTTTACTGAATACAACAATCTACAGTTCCATCCATTTTGTCAAAGATAGCAGGTCTCCCCCCCCCCCATTGCTGAATCATTTCATTGTGTATAGGCAACACATTTTTTTTCTTTATTCTTTCAGTGGTTGATAGACACCTGAGTTGCTTCTGTGTTGTGGCTGCTGTGAGTAGTGATGGAATAAATAGAGGAGTGCAGATGTCTCTATGACCCTCTCATTTTGTTGCTTTTGACTAAACACCTAGTAATGGGTTGCTAGATTATATGTTAACTCTATTTTTTTTTATAAAAAGAAATCTCTTTACTGGTACATAATAGCTATATGAATTTATGTTCCCCACTAGCAGTACAAACAAGGCTCTTGTTTTTCATATTCTCAACACACTCGTTTTCTTTAGTTTTTAAAAATTAATTAATTTTTGAGGTTGGGTCCTCAATGTGTAATTAGTTCAGACTGGCCTTGAACTCAGATCCTCCAACATCTACTACTTTTTTTTTGTTTTTCGAGACAGGGTTTCTCTGTGGCTTTGGAGGCTGTCCTGGAACTCGCTCTTGTAGACCAGGCTGGTCTCGAACTCACAGAGATCCACCTACCTCTGCCTCCCGAGTGCTGGGATTAAAGGCGTGCACCACCAACGCCTGGCTCTACATCTACTTCTTGATTCCTGGTATTAATGGTGTATGCCATCATTTGTGGCCCTGCCTTTAGTCTTTTTTTTATAATAGCCATTCTATTATCAAACAGCTAATTTTAATTTTGGTTTTTATTTCCCTATTTAGGGGAATTGAATTTTTTTTTCATATAGCTGTTGACCATTTGTTTGTTTTCTTTTGAGATAAAAAAAAAGTCTGTTTAGGTTGTGTGTGTGTGTGTGTGTGTGTGTGTGTGTGTGTGTTTTGGATTTTCGAGACAGGGTTTCTCTGTGTAGCTTTGGAGCCTTTCCTGGCACTCGCTCTGGAGATCAGGCTGACCTCTAACTCACAGAGATCCGCCTGCCTCTGCCTCCCGAGTGCTGGGATTAAAAGCATGGGCCACCAACGCCCTGGCTGTTTAGGTCTTTTATCTATCCTTTACCCAACAAGGACACGGTCAAACTATCCTCTTAATGTTTCATTTTGAGAACCTTTTGCCTTCACCTTCTACCTTCTGGTATTACACCATGTGCAATACCGTGCTCTAACTCCTAAGCTATGGAGCCCTCACTTTATAGCTGTGTAAAAACAGGCCCAGCTCTAATACCTGGCTTTTTAAATAGAATTGTTACATGCTCATAGAACTGTGTGCCCCTTGTTCCAACTCATACCATACTAGAATAAATTCTCTTAGCATATTTTTGGTTGTCTTGAAAGTCTTGTATGACCAGCATTTTAATGAAAGATGTCTCCAAATCTTGGCCTTAGAAATTTTGTAACATGTTGTAATGCATTACCTGTTTCTTCTGCTTTTTGGACATGACACTGGATGTCTGATTGTGTTCATTTTGTTTAATAAACAAAATCCCTATTTAATTTAGATGAGGTCACTAAGTTTTAGAGACACCAGTAACATTCTGTAGTATTCAGTCTGTACTTAACACATTTTTTGGACTTGATGCATGGCTATCACTTAAATGATAGTCTGCTACTAAAAATTATATGGGTTTCGTGCTCATATGATTAAAATTAGTTGTCATGAAAGACAGCCTCCATGCAAGGCGACAGCTTTTATTCCTGCTTACTGTTGATTCTGTAAGTTAACCATAACTGTGGTGTTTTATTTTGATCATGGAGCTCTTTAGTAATACACTTCACTAAGAAATTGTGATGTCACCAGAACTACTTGTAAAGGTGGAATGTTGAGGAGAGCGGTGAATAATTTCATCAACTTTCTCCTTGGGTAGTGACTTTGGGTTATAACTTTCAGATTATGAAAGTGGAGCTCTTTACTGTTATTTTGGAAAAACATCAGTAATGTCTTGTCAGGACCCCATCTGGATTATTTATTTATTTATTTATTTATTTATTTATTTATTTATTTGAGATTTACTTAAATTTTTTTATGTGTACATGTGTTTTGTCTGTATGCACATATGTGCATCATGGGCACACCTAGTACTCATGGAGGTCAGAAAAGGGTGTTGGATCACCTGGGAAGTAGAGTTAGAATTCTGAGCTGCCAAGTGGTACTGGGAATCAGACCTCGGATCAAATCAGCTAGTGTTCTTCAGTTTGTTTATTTTGAGACAAGGGCTCTCTCTTTACTATGTAGCTCTGGCTGCCCTGGAACTCGCTATGTAGACCAGGCTGGCCTGAAATTCATGGAGATCCACCTGCTTCTGCCTGTCAAGTGCTGGGATTATGTCGTCTGCCGCCCTGCCCAGCTGCAGCTAGTGTTCTTAACCAGGCTGGCCTTGAACTCACAGAGATCTGTCTGCCTGTCTTCACCTCCTGAGTTCTGGGATTAAAGGCATTCACCACCATGTCTGATTTACTCACCATTTCTAGTGTTTAATAAATTATATTGCCATACCTATGAATTTTAAATGACTTAAATTGAAATGATTATGGCTGCTTATTAAATGCTATTTTATAAGCAGAGAAAGGATTATTTAAGAAAAAGTTTATGCTGATTTTGATCAGGTTATTTTTACATAAATTTGAGATACTCTTGTAGCTCTTCGTGCTCAGTATGGTTGGTATGTTTATATTCTGTCTTTTTCATCAGCCAGTAAAAAAGGAGGCAAATCTTGATTTAGTAAAATTTTGTGTGGTGACCACATGGTTTTTGATCCCAACACTCAGGAGGCCAAGGCAGGGGATTTTGGAGTTCAAGAATAGCCTGGTCTAAATAGTGAGTTAAAGGACAGATAGGTCTATGTAGAGAGACCATGCTCTCCCCAAACAACAACAAAAGTATGAAAGTTTATTGCCATTTTAATCCCATAGCAGAAATTAGAGCAGTCTACATCGGATGTAAGGAGCTTCTTAATCCCTGCTTTCCCTCGCTGTTCCTTCCATCTTGTATTAGAACAGTGATTATAGGTACCAAGTGTCACGTGGGAATGATTAAAATCAGTATTGTCCTAATGTAGGAAGTTCCTATAATTTTCTATTTTAGTAACTGATCTTTTGCATCTAATTTTAAAAATAGTCTTTATTTGGAGGGGTGAAGCTATTTTCTAGTATCTTTCCAGGTCTTATGTGAAATGTGATTATACTTGTATTTATACATGTGTTATAAATGTGTACATCTGTGTTTTTAAGAATCCCTCAACACTTATTTCTTTGGGGGTGGGGGTGGTTGTAGCTTTGGAGACTGTCCTGGAGCTCACTCTGTAGACCAGGCTGGCCTAGAACTTGCAGAGATCCGCCTGCTTCTGTCTCCTGAGTGCTGGGATTAAAGGTATGTACCACCATGGCCCAGCCCTCAACGCTTATTTTTAAACCCTAAGAGCATTAGTTAAAATAATATGAGTTATGCTGAGGCATGGATGACAGTAGGGTGCTGAGTAAGGTAGTAAGTATATGTTCAAAAAGATTTCTTCAGGCTGGAAAAATGGCTCAGCCCTTAAAGGCTAGGCTCACAATCAAAAATATAAAAAGATTTCTTACAGGAGCAGACATGAGTAAGTGGATGTGGACTGTAGGAAGCTTGTGGTACCTTAAATTAATGCTGCCTGCTCACAGTGAATGCTTGATTTCTCTTTGTGGGCTGGGATTTTAAGTCTTAAATTATCATAAATCTTAAATTGGGAAACCTTTAAGTAATTAAAAGTATTGCACATGTGTAATCAAAAAATTCACAAGAGGTTTTGTTTTGTTTTTAAATGTGATATTACCCACTCCTGTTCTTTGCTGGTAATAGTTCAGAGCGCGAGCTTGTGTGTGTGTGTGTGTGTGTGTTGTGTGTGTGTGTGTGTGTGTGTGTGTGTACATATGTGCAAATATAAATGCAATGTTTATGTGCATACAGTGTGTACACAGATAATGTAGATATACAAAACAGGAAATATTTTATAGATTTGTATGTGGCTTTTGCTTTAAAGTGTACAGGATGAGTGTTGGTTAGAAACAAGTATAATTGAAAAGTGAAAAAAAATGAATGTGGGGGCTGGAGAGATGGCTCAGTGTTTAAAAGCACTGCCTGCTCTTCTAGAAGATCTGGATTGGGTTCCTGTCACCCACTCTGTAGCTCACAACTATCTGTAACTTCAGTCTCGGAGATCCAGATTCCTTTTCAGGCATCTGGGCAATGCATACATATGGTACATAGACACAAGTGAGACAAAACACCCTATACTCATAAAAATGGAAACACACATACAAAACACATAAAATTAAAAATTTTGCTAAAGAAAATGGAATGTGTATGCTACTATTTTGGAAGTGTTTGAGATGATAGGAACTCTGACTGAAAAAAGAATGTTCCCTTTCATTTGTAGATGGCTAATTTATAAAAATGAAGAAGGGCAAATTCATTATTTTTATTATTTTTATTTTTTTTTGTTTTTTTGTTTTTTGGTTTTTCGAGACAGGGTTTCTCTGTGGCTTTGAATGCTGTCCTGGAACTAGCTCTTGTAGACCAGGCTGGTCTCGATCTCACAGAGATCCGGCTGGAAGGGCAAATTATTATGCCCAGATCATATTTAAGAATTTAAGCAGAGTAGTACTTTTCCACCAACTGTCCTCCTTTCCCTTCCTCTGACAGGTTTTTCGACTTTTCTTGTTTGTTTTCAAACAGGTCTCACTATAGTCTGTACCAGGCTGTCCTGGAACTCAGAGATTCTCCCACATCTGCTTCCAGGACTGGGATTAAAGGTGTGCACCACCACACTCACACTTGGACTTTTGTTTTTAACTCCTTTATTTGCCCCTATTGAATAAAAGTCCATTATCTTTTGTGTACTCTAGAAATTTAGTCCCAAGATTTTAGGAGCAGCAACAAAAACCCCACTAAATCATAACTCCTGAAAGTATTTATTTGTAATGGTGATACAAACCCTTATCTCTACCTACCTACCTCCACCATCCATCCATCCGATCATGTTTTTGAGACAGGGTTTCTCTGTGTAGCCTTAGCTGTTCTGGTCACTTTGTAGACCAGGCTGGCCTAGAACTTACAGAGCCAAACCTGCCTCTGCCTCCCAAGTGCTGGGATTCAAGGCCTGCACCACCACTATCCAGCTGGAAACATTTATTTTTACCTTGATAACTGTTTTTAGGCATTTGAAGAAACAGGAAGAAAAAAAAAAAACAATAATCAACTGGCAATTTCTCAAATTGCGACCCCCGCCCCCAAGTGTTTCTCTGTATAACAGTTCTAGCTGTCCTGGACCTCAGTTTGTAGACCAGGCTGGCCTTGAACTCAGAGAGATCACAGGCTTCAAAAACTTTCATTGGACCCAATTTTCCAAATTTATTCCATCCTCTTGGGGGACAGTGTCATGAATGGATGGTGAGAAAGCAGGAGTTTAGACAATCATTCAGTAATTCTTAACCACCTCTTGTGTTTATTGCAGGCCTTTTTAGAAATGGCTTCTGAAGAAGCTGCTGTTACTATGGTAAATTATTACACTCCTGTTACTCCTCATCTACGAAGTCAGCCTGTTTATATCCAGTATTCCAATCACCGAGAACTTAAGACTGACAATCTGCCTAATCAGGCTGTAAGTATTATAGGCATCTGATATAAGAATAATTATACAAATGTGGTATCATAACTTAAAATTAATTTCTATACTTCTGAGAAGAACCACCATATATTTTTCTTCATTGTAGAGTACTTTACTAACATTTAGTATATAACTTGTTCTTAGAGGCTTAATAATAAAAAGTTTCATTTGGAAACGTTGGAAGTTACAGCATTAGAAACTACACTTAGTGGACCATGCATGGGTTTTTCAATAAGCATTGAAATGTTTGTCTTGTTTTATGGTTTTTCTAATAGTACTGCAACAATATTCATTTTGGCACACTTGAAACCTTATCTTACTAGATCCTGTTTCTAACAGTGAAATCCCTGGGTTTAAGCGTGTGCATGTTTTAATATCTGTTCCATGATTGCTTTCTGTACTTAATATGTTATTAAATAATTGTATCTTATTGTTAAATCCTTAATAATTTATAACAATTATATGCAGTAGTTTTTCTTAGAGTAATTTTCTTTTTAATAAAACTGTATCTAGCCAGGCGTTGGTGGCACACGCCTTTAATCCCAGCACTTGGGAGGCAGAGGCAGGCGGATCTCTGTGAGTTCGAGGCCAGCCTGGTCTCCGGAGCGTGTGCCAGGATAGGCTCCAAAGCTACACAGAGAAACCCTGTCTCGAAAAACCAAAAAAAGAAAAAAAGAAAAAAAAAAACCTGTATCTACTTTTGTATGTGTGAGCATGTAATATGTTCATGTTTGTATATCTTAGTGTCGGCACAAATGTGTGACCTTTTTTTGTAGTTGTTAGAGACAACTTTGGGTATCATTCCTTGCCTTCCACCTTGTTTGATATAATGTTATATGGAACTTAAATGATGGATAGCTGTGAAACACCATGTGGGTTTTACATACTCAATCCAGGTCCTCTGCAAGAACAACAAATGTAATTCAGCCATCTCTTTAGCTCCTCTTCCAATACTTTTGATTGCTTCTGGTTTGATATTCAAGTTTTGTTCTCCTGATGGGTTGTTGACAAATAGAGATAGGGCTTTATTCTTCCTTATGGCTAAACAAGTTTCTTCTGGATTACTTATTTAATAACCCATTTATCTATCTAGTGGTGCATTTATATACACTTGTTATGAATGTTGCTCATTTGCCATGTACTCCAAATCTAGTTTGGACCAGACTTTTCTATTCTATTTTTGCCTTAGTATACACTATGACTTAATCTATTGAGGAGCAACATACTGTCTCGTCAGAAATTAACTGATTATAGTTCTTAAAATTATTTTGTTAACTCCTGTTTTCTTTTTAAAAAATTGGAATTGGGTTAGTTTTGTAAACTTAGAAATAATTAACATATTTTCTGATCCTTTTTTGCCAGAAGTTCTGTTTTGTTTTTCTTTTAACGTCTTTCAGTAGAATTTAAGTATTTTCTTCATGTAAGGCATAGGTTATACAACAGTCTGATTTCTAAGTATGTTAGTATAACTTGCCAGAAGAAAAATAATTTAATAAAAACTTAAAGATTGGATTATGCCAAAGGGAAACAGTGAGAAATCCCAGTTGCTTGACAACCACAGGCACCCAAATGGCCTAGTTCATTCTTAGATAGACTTGGTTTCTTCCCAACACTTTTTTTTTTAACTTTTACTTTTATACAATGTTTATTCCAAACTCTACACTTAAACATGAAGTCACAATGAAAGCCATATATTTTTGAATGTTGGGTTTTTGTTTGTTTTATTCTGAAAGCCTAGGAAGTGGACAGATTCACATTTCTTCTCTTTTTTGTTCTCTAAATTATCAAGATACACTCCAAAGCATGCATGTGACTCTTTCAGCTGTGGATACTTAAGTCCATACTTAGGTCCACATGTTTCTCAACATGTGGGTCATGACCTGCTGATGGGCCGAACTCCCTCTTCACAGAGTTGCCACTGGAAAGTATTTTATATTACAATTCATAACAATAGCAAAATTACAGTTATGAAGTAGCAATGAAATTAATTTTATTGTTGGGGTCAACACAACATGAAGAACTATACTAAAGGGTTCAGTGTTAAAAAGATTGAGAACCATTGATACAAAGTAGTTTTACTTCCTTGATTTACAGGAGACTTATAATTATTAAATGTAATTGTGTTGTGAAGTACAAAATTTGAAAATTTCTTACTTTGGAGTTTTTCTTGACTTCATTAAGTAGTTTATGAATCTGTAGAAATGGCTTTGTAAGGATTTTACCTTTAAAGTGTACTCTAAATTATTAAACTTAAGAGTAAAGACTAGAATATTCACTTTATGCTAGATTCCACATTCTTGATTTTAGAAATGCATTCCTCACCTCACACAGATACTTTGTGTTTTACTTTATTTATTAAGATAGGGACTTACTATATGCCCAAGTTCCGTTGAACTCACTTCATAGCCCAGGGTGTCTGTCTATCCTTTTCCTGTCCTCCTTTATTAGCTTCTAAGTGCTGGGATTACAGGTATGTGCCACTATGCTCCCTTGGGCATGTTTAAGCTTCATAAGAAATAGACCTCCCCACTCCAACTTAATAAAGTTCTTGTGCTTGTTTGATTACACTGTTTCTATTTCCCTTATTAGTAGTATAATCATTCTAGAATTGTTGCTCCAAATGCCTAAAAGTCCTTTCCCACAGTAATTTTATTGCATAGCAATTTTAAACATCAGAAGCATTTTTATCTTCAAACACCTTTTTCACTTAATTGTTTTTGCTTAGTTAAAAACTGCTACTAAGAACTTGGTGTGATATTAATGCATATTTATAATCCCAGCACTGGAGAAGCTGAGGCAGGAAGATTTTAGTTCAGAATTGTCCTTGGGTACATCAAGAAACCCTATATCATGAAACAAAAAGCTCAAAATCTTATAATTATAAAATATATATATCATATTTTCACTGCCCCTCTTGGATTTTTATTTTCAAAAGCTCTTTTCTTTCCTTCTTTAACTTCCTTCTTTCCTCCCTCTCTTCATTCCTTTCTTTGCTTCTGCTCCTCCTTCCCCCTCCATTTCTTGTACTTTTGATCTTCCAGTCTCAATCTCACTAATGCTGGGATTACAGGTGTGCACCACCACACCCCATCTTGCTAGTCATTTAGAAAGCTTGAATCAGTGCTCTGTGAGCACCAGTGCAGACTGTGTTGAATGTCATAGTGATTAGGACAGTGTGCACCATTAATCTTACATTTTTGTGCCAAAGAGAAAGTGAAGAACAGTAGCAGCAAAACCAGCAGCAGCAACCACTTACATAGAATTAACATTAATAGACTGGCTATTGACATCATAAGAAGTGAGATCAAATTTATTTTTAGTTGCACATGTTTTTGATATTTAATATTTTATTGTGAGAGGAATGTTCACTAGGATGTCTTTGTCCAGATACCCCAGAGCTGTAACAACCAATGCAGAAGTAATGGTCTGTATTTAGCTAGTAGTAAAATTCAGCTCCTCAGTTACTGTGTCTGATAGCTGTTATATTGAACAGGGTAAAATATAGGCTTTATCATAGGAATCTTTTAGCTGTAGGATAGTACTGATTAATATCTTCCATGTCCTTCTTTAACTTGTGGAGTGTGTAGAATACAGTTCATACAATATTTGCCTGTAAAAAAAAATTCTGAATTGGTATAAATCACTATTAAAATGTTTGTAGACTAGAATCTTTAAAAGGATTGTGTTCAGCATGTGTACTAACATTGGAATTGATACAGATATTAGTGGGGCTTTTACATACATACAGTTATGTGAAATATTCTGTATATTAAAAGAGAGTTTTCTCTAATTTGTAAGGAATATTTTAAGTGCTTACAATAGACAAAGAGCATATTCATAGCCAGACACAGTGGTGCATACCTTTAATTCTAGTACCTGGGAAGCAATGGCAGGCAGGTCTCTTGAATTCAAGAATAGCCTGCTCTACTAGTTCCAGGTCAGCTAGAGCTACATAGTGAGACCCTGTCACCAAAAAATGAAGAAAGAAAAAAAAAAAAAAAAAAACCAGAGAGAGAGACTTGTTGAGTTAAGCATACAGAAAGTAAAAGGCTCCCAATTTTGAGAAAGGCACTCACTTTTAACAAAGTTCATTGTAGCAAAGTGCTAAAATTTAAGCTTTTCACATTAGAAAAACTGTAAACCAAAATTAAAAACTACCATCAGTTATTTAAAATAACAACGCTATGACTAACATTTTGGATTTTTGGGGGGGGGAGGGGGTAGGGGTTCAAGACAGGGTTTCTCTGTGGCTTTGGAGGCTGTCCTGAAACAAGCTCTTGTAGACCAAGCTGGCCTTGAGCTCATAGAGATCCGCCTGCCTCTGCCTCCCGGGCGCTGGGATTAAAGTTGTGTGCCACAAACACCTGGCACATTTTGGAGTTGAATATAATGTATGGAAATGAAAGCAATATTGAATTTGTAGAAGTTTTCATTTATATGCACACACAGTTTTCAAATTTTCACCATTCTTAAGTAACTATGGCTAGCATGGAGAAACTTGCTGTAATTTCAGCACTAGGCAAAGTTTGAGGTCAACTATGGCTATGTAATAAAACCCTGTCTCTATTGGGGTTGGCATGCACAAGGCCTCAACCATGCACAAAGAACCACAGGCAACTAAGAAATGCTAAGAGCTGAAGAAATAGTCTTCCTCGAATAAAGAACATACCAATTTTTTCCAATACCAAAAGGTCAGACCTAAAATATATATACACACAGTTAATGTTATATAGATCAAACAGGTTGTACTTCCTCTCCTTTCATTTCATCTTTAAAAATAATTATTGTAAGTTTTGAGGAAATTACAAGTGTAGAAAATATATGCAGGTAGAGTATTAAATTTAAATTCTCAAGCCTTTTGAGAGGGTATGATCAACCCAATCTTTCATTATTAACATGTACTTGGTGTTTCCTACAAATGGGAGAGGTTTCTTCTACCAACTAGAATAGGGTAGTCAGCACTGGTTTGGGTTGGTGGCACAAACCTGTAAATCATACTCAGGAGATCATAAATTCAAGGTCTGGGACCATGCAGGATATTTTAAGGCTAGCTCAAGTAACTTAGTGTAACTTTATCATGAAGTGAAAAAGGCTCAGGTAGGATGCTTGCCTGATGTGCATTAAGCCCTTAGTTCAGTACTTACTTCTGAACTCCAAAAAGAAAAAGTAAGAAATTAATATTGATACATTGCTCCTTTGTCATCTGTAGAGTCCATTTATGTTTTTGCTAATTGTTCTTAAATAATATTTGCATTAGCAAAATGGTATAGTTAGGTTTGTGTATGAGTTTCATTTGGTTGTCTTTTTAGTCATTTTAGGCAAATTCTGCTTTTCTTTCCTATTTGTTTGTTTTTTTGAGTTTTTTTGGAACAGGGTTTCTCTGTGTAGCTTTGGAGTCTATCCTTGTAGACCACTCTGGTCTTGAACTCACAGAACCTCACCTGCCTCTGCCTCCCAAGTGCTGGGACTATAAAGGTGTGCGCCACCACTACCCAGCTATCTGCTCTTCTTTTAATCTGATGTCCTTAACATCATTAAATGAAAGACAGTTTATTTCTTAAAATGCCCCTCAACTTTTGTTGGTCTTATATTTCCTTGTGATTAAATTCAGGATATGTATCTTTGACAAATATATCTAGAAGTGACACAGTCATGTTTGCCAGGCTTCTGTACTATGGGGTCAGTACACTTCTCTCCCATTATTCGTTGGGAAGGGTGGTAGTTTGGTTAGGTTTTTCTTGGATCCCATTCTGAAATCTAAGGATGCTAAAGCCACTTACATAAAATGGTGCAATAGCTGTTTGTGTATACCTTAAACACACATTGTTGTGTATACTTAACATGCCAATATCCCCTCTAGATTACTCAGAATACTTAACACAGCGTGAGTGCTGTGTAAATAGTTGTAATACTGCCAGGTACGGTGATATACCCTTGTAATACCCAGCACTCAGGAAGGAGGATGACAAGTTCCAGGACAGCCTTAACTACATAGTAGCAAGCCCTGGTCTCCATAAAAAAAAAAAAAAAACAAAATAGTTGTATTATTTTAAGGAATAATAGCAAGGAAAGAGGATATGTGTATAGATGGAAGTTTTTTCATCTGTGTTTAGATGTTGTACCTACACATATGGAGGTCCCAACTTAAAAGGTGGAAGAAATATTTCATGCACTGGTATTTGGAGATTACATGAATGCTGTTCTTTACTAGCTGTCAGTTGTTAGCATTATGGATTTAGGGATTCCTGTTTATTTTATGGATGACCTTTGATGTTCAGATTTCTCAGATTGGGCCAGTGGGATCCCTTTCAAGTTCTCTTCTGTATCCTTTTGACAGATCACCTTTATCATTTCAGTGATCTTTCCGTTCTGGGAAATAAAGAAACCAAAATTATTTCACACTTACCTTCTTCTTTTCCTGCCAGAGCTCTAAAACAGCTACTTAGAATTCCCGTTTCATTTCAGTGGGAATGTATTAGAAGCTTGCTTGTACTCTGACACTCCTTGCCAGGCTACCTGAATGACAGGCTAGCCTGATCACACTCTAGGCTCTTCATACCTGTTCATTGCTTGCCCACCTCATGGACCTCTTCACCTTGCTTATGCTGTCTTCAACACATTAACTACCTATATCATTATGGGCACCCTTCTACTTTCTTGGGCTTTGACATTTTCAATCAGCTGCCCCCCTACCCATCTTCTTATTCTTCTCATGCTCTTCAGCTAACATTGAAGGCACCTTGCACACACATACTATAAATACTTTCTTTTCCTTATTTGGGTCCAGATTTCCCTTTGCAAGGCAGCCCTGGCTATGGATTTGCTCCTCAGCTCCTTGCTTCCATGGCATGGAGGCCTGCTTATAATAATGGCCTACTTTCCCCACTAACACATCAGTCACATTTACATTTATCTGAAGCCATCCAAAGGCTTTAGAACTGAATAGTTAGGCTGGGACTAAAAGCATGCACCACTGCTCCTGGCTTTTTCATGGGGGTTTTGAGGATAAAACTCAGGTCCTTATGCTTACACAAGCACTGATTGACTGAGCCGTCTACTTAGCCTCATCTTTTAATAAAAGAAAGAAAAACCAAGCAAATTGAAAACTCTGGTCTTGGGATATGTGTATCTAGATAAAGTATATGGAAGTGAGTTTGTGTTACATCATCTCAGCTTCAGGATTCATCCACTACTTCTGTGATCAAAAGTGGTAATTTTTCTTTTTTTTTTTTTCTTATTTTTGGCTTGCTTTTTAGAGAGCCCAAGCTGCACTGCAGGCTGTCAGTGCTGTCCAGTCAGGAAACTTATCCCTTCCTGGAGCTCCTTCCAATGAAGGTGCAGTGCTACCTGGACAGAGCCCTGTGCTCCGGATAATTATTGAAAACCTATTCTACCCTGTCACTCTGGAAGTTCTTCATCAGGTAAGAAACAAGCTCTTCTGAAAGCAGAATCAAATGTGGTCTCCCTAACTTTAATTAATATTTGTTTTTTAAGTTGAGTGTGATAGCACACAAGTTTAATCCCAGCACTGGGGAGGTAGAGGCAGGCAGATGTCTAAGTCCAAGTCTTGGTCTACACAGTGAGCTCCAGAACAGCTAATGCTACATAGTGTGACCTCTCTTCCCCCTTCTCCCCAAATCTGTTCTTTACTGATTTGGTTATTTTCTTTTTATTATCTGGTTAAATAATAAGATTTATGATTCTGTTTCATAGAAGAAATTGTGTCAGGTATTTTTTACAGCCTCCCTTTTCTAAATTTGCTTTATTTTGAAAAAGGGGTTGACCTGTATAGCCCTGTCCTAGAACTCACTATAGACTAGACTGGTCTCAAACTCACAGAGATTTGCCTGCCTCTGCCTCTCAAGTGCTGGGATTAAAGGTATGTATCACTATACCTGGCCTAATTTATTTTGGATTTTAAAAGATGTGTAATGATGGCAAGGCTTGGGATGTAAGTTGAGTGATAGAGCCATTTGGCGTGAAGAACTTTCATGCATGAGGTCTTACATTCATTCCTAATACCAGTAATTATGACAATGACATTAAACACTGAAGGGTGAGAAGTTCTAATTTAACCAGATGTAGTGGCATACATTTATAGTCCTAGCACTTGAGATGCTGAAACAGGAGCATTGTCCAGTCAGTCACAAAATCCCACATCAAAAATGAACAAAATTGAATTATTTTCCTGTTTTAGTCATTGTTCTATTGCTGTGAAGAGCCATCATAACCAAGACAACTTAAAAAAAAACCAAACCAAAAAACCCCAACAACAACAAAAAAACCCCACACATTTAATTTGGGGCTTGCTTGTAGTTTCAGAGGCTTATTATTAAGCCTCCTTCCCGGGATCTCTGTGAGTTCAAGGCCAGACTGGTCTACAGAGTCAGTTTGAGGACAGCCAGTTTTACACTGAGAAACCCGATCTTGACCCCCCCACCATATATATTTGGAAGGGAAGATATAATAATCTTTAGTATATATATGGATATATGATATGCATTATACTAGATAATCACTTATATATAGTGTAGTCTTTGTAGATAATTCATTAGTGCATGTGAACTGTCTTACCAACGATATTCTACTAAGTCAGGGCTAGTGGTATTTAAAATTTACAAATTGGAAGGTCATGTACTTACATAATTTTCTGGTGAGTAAAACTGGACACATTTCCTTCAGCAAAGCCATACCTCCTAACCCTTCTTCCCAAGCAGTTTCACCAACGTGGGGCCCAAGAATTCAAACATGAGCCTATGGGAGGAGATATTCTCATTCAAACCAGCACAGTCTACTCCATGGCCACTATAGGCTTGTGGTTTATCATAATGTAAAATGCATTTCATCCAGTTTCAAAAGTACCTATAGTCTGTCAGTCTTATGTGGTTCAAGTGGGTTGGACTCCATCCCAGGAAAGCAGCTGAATATGGCAGTGTCATCCATGTGGTTCTGGCTTTGGCATCATGAAGGGCACATGAGTAAAGGGATTGTGGAATCTTCTGCAGTTAAGGAGAACTGCTGAGGCCAGGCAGTGTGTGGCAGCTGCCTGCTTGGGGAGGAGCCTTGCCATCTTGAACCACATTTTCTTTTATTGGTTTATTTTCAGAGTAGAAAATTCCTTATGTCTTTTCTTTTTGTAAGTTGGAAGCCTAGCTAGGCCCTGAGGGCACCTCTCCCTTTACTCCATTTCAGATCTGGCTTCTCTTTAATCTCACCTCTCAACATATAAGTCTTGGTCTCTTTCCTGAAGCTTTTTCTCTTCAAACTGTATGTTTTATACTTCTTTTGCTGTGCTTGCTCTTATTCATTGTAGATCTGCATAAGTGTGATTACTACTAATAAGCACACGGCAGTCAATACTAGGATGTCTTGGGATTTCCTCCATTAACAAGATTACTATTACGGGTGGGGGGGGGCATTGAGACAGGATTTCTTTCTTTGTGAACCTTGGCTGTCCTAGAATTAGCTCTATAGATCAGACTGGCCTTGAACTCACAGGGATCTGCCTACCTCTGTCTCCTGAGTGCATGAATTAAAAGCCAGCACCACCACTACTACCAGCAGCTTAGTCTGTTACTTTTAAATTTAGCTGCAGGCAAATTCTTAGGAGAAGACAGAAAGTTATCAGAGTCTTAGCCAAAAATATCGAAAAAAAATGCTCTCTAGCCCAGTTTTCTGATATTATTGTTTCCCTCAGAAACATCTTAAGCCAGGCTTCCACAGTCCTCATAGTTTTCAAGACTATTGTCTTCTAAGCTTCTGCTAGAATGGCCTGTTAAGCTCTGCTTACACTCCCTGATACCATTTTCTGGGAACCAAGTATGCAAACATTTGAGTCTATTGGGGGCATGCTCATTCAAATCATTCACTACACTGCCTTTGGATTTATATTACTAAATGAAGAATTGTAGTGTGTGTGTGTGTGTGTGTGTGTGTGTGTGTGTGTGTGTGTTCAAAAACTGAAATGCATTTTAATCTGAATTCAAATATTATAAATAAGCTGGGCCCTTAGATATTCTTTTACTTCCATCATCAGTTTTCTATTTATGATGGGACTTAGACTCTTATCTCAATGTGTTCTTTACTATGAATGTAAATACTAAATATACCAGTTAGTAGGACTGCTGTGTTCCTTTCAATAATTATCTGAGTACCAGTTTCAAAATAAAGTGCACCTGTGAAGCGTTTCCTAGGGAACTTTAACAGTTATGTTTGTAGCCACCCTTGTCCCTCCCTAAAAGTGGTTTAGTATTTGCTTAAGTCATTGATTTCATTGTTCTGTTAAATTTGTTTTCTGTTCATTGCACAAAGTAGCATTTAACAAACAGTCAAAATACTGGAGGCTTGATTTGTAACTGGTCTTTTATTCTGTTTCCTTCACAAAGATAATGACCCCTGTGACTTATCAGCAGAGTGTTTGCATTTGCTTCTGTAATACTGTGGTTTATTTATATTCTTTAAAAGATACTTTTGGACCTATGACTCAACATTGCCACCACCCATCAGGTGCACTTAGTCGGTGTCATGAGGTCATGTACTAATAGTCTAGTTATCATTTCCCCCACACAGTGACAGACTTTTCTTCTCATGTAGAAGTCCTGAATGAGCAGTACTTTTCTATTCTCAGTTCCATAAATTGGATTAAGACTCTGTCTTTAGTTACAGAAGTCATTGTTTAGTTCTTCCCAGTCCAGTGGGAAAAAAATCTTTACCAAAGCTCTTAGGCTCCACATACAAATGTTTCCCCCATTTACTTACCCTCAGTAAGTACCCTTTAACACCTTGGCTTTTTGGAACCCTGTCTATCTCTCTGTTCTCCAGCTTAGTCCTATCTTCCTTTTCTGTTTCTTGGGCTTGGGATACTGTTTAACCTACAGAGTGAGGTGGCTGATGTCCATAGTTGGATTGGATCATCTCAAAAGTTTCCTTTTTAAAGAGTCTTCCTTTAAAGAACATTGTATCTCATTCACCCTGACTTAGTCATTGTTGCTGTGAGGATACCCTGGGACCATGCAACTCTTATAAAAGAAGACATTTAATTGGGGGCTTGCTTACAGTATCAGTTTAGCCCCTTAGCATCAAGGAATGGGGACCTGGCTGCATACAGGCAGGTGCTGGATCGGTAGGTAAAGAGACTCTGAGCTTTTGAAACCTCAAAGCCCACCTCCAGAGACAATTCCTTCAACAAGGCCCACCTCTTAATCCTTTTAATCCTTTCAGATAGTATGGCTCACCTGGTGCCTGGTGACTAAGCATTCAAATACATGAGCTGGTGGGGGCCATGCTTATTCAAACCACCACACCCTGCAAGAGATAGTATGCTTAAACTTAGAGGAGCTGGAGTTGGTTTGAGTTTTGCTCTAGTATGCACTCCATTTAATCTCACCCTTCTCTTTTTTTCTTATAATACTTTTATATTATATAACCAAAGTTATGGTTTCCTTTGCCTATTTATTGTCTTAATAAAGGCAGAAATTTTTGTTGCTCTTTTAACTTGCCTGTACTTAAAAAAGTATCTTGCAATTTGAACAAGCCGGTATTTGAACATCTTATTTCTGCCTGTAGAGGTTTCTAGAAGTAGCTGCTGACTTATAGGGGGTGAAATAAATCTTTGACTTATTTGACTTCATTTTAATCCATACACTTGTGAACATCATTGTATCAAACTATCAGTTAATTACTCTTACAGCCTTCTGTTTTAGAATCCTACCATTTGTACATATTATAAAATTGGTTAAATATTTGAGTACTTGTTGTGTGCCAGCATCATGCATAGGTATTGAAACATTAACATCTTAGGCTTCTTTTGGTACATTTTTGTACCAGAAGTTTTAATAGAAAACATTGCTTGTATTTTATACATTAATGGGGCTCATTGATGAGGTAAGAAGATCAAGAATTTGAAGCCTGCCTGAGCAACTTAACAAGAGATTGCCTTAAAACAAACAAACCCCTTTTTTCCAGATATTTTCTAAATTTGGCACAGTCTTGAAGATTATCACCTTTACAAAGAATAATCAATTTCAAGCCTTGCTTCAGTATGCTGACCCACTGAATGCACATTATGCCAAAATGGTAATTATACTTTTCCTTTTCCATTGTTAGTATTAGTCACTTGCTTTGGAGATATCTGAAGGAGCCATCACATCTCACTTGCTCCAGTTTATCTTGTGTTTAATTATATGTACCTTTTGATCATTGTAAACTGTGTTGTTTCCTTCTAAGCTAAGACTTATTGCTTTCCCATTGGAAGCAGCTTTAGTTTATCATTTTTCAGATCTTTGATATTCATTGCTGTTTGTTGCATTTAAAATCTATACTTAAGCATAGTACTCCTGATTCAATCTGACTGATAAGTAGATGTTTGACCTTGTGGTTTCATTTACTTGTCTTCAATCGGGCAGAGATTGATTTCACTATGTGTTGTATACCCATATTCAGCTCTCATTGTTACTGAGTTCTGAATTGGTAAAGACATTAAACCTTAAATTATGCTGTCAAATGATGTTGTTTTCTTTTTAAGTGCATAAATCTTTGGTTTTGTTTTAATAAGACTAAGACAGACACTTGGTCACATTAGATACAGTTCTCTTGGAGAGCTGTCATTAACCTAAATTCTGCTTTGTTATTGGTTTAGAGATAGAATCTTAAGTTTAACATAAGCTGCATGCTTATCATACAGTTGCCATATTCTTTGGGTTTTGTGTATGTTTTTATAAATTTGACTATTTGTGAAAACATGCAGTAGCCACAAATAGCCTGCTGGTAAATTTTATTATAGCAAAGGGATTACTGGTCTTTGGTCACAAGCGACTCTCTTTGTTTTTTATTCAAAAAAGTAAGTACAAAAAAAAAAAACATGACAGATAATATTTTATTTTTTATGACTAACATATTATTTACTGTGGTGTTTCATCAATATATTATATTCACCAGTATAAACTATACTAAAATGAAATTGAATTATGAAATTAACACCTTTAAATATTTACCATGGGCAAAATAACCATAATAATGGTGTTTCTATAATACTATAGAATATTATTCCAGGCTTTTATATTTTTAGTTTCATTTGATTTGACAACGTCAGATAATAAAAGTTAACCTAGGTCTTTGGCCTTTTGTCCTTTGTACCCTCCTTTATATTTGATTGCCTCTGTCTCAAAGAAGAGACTGCTCAGTAAGTCAGTGTGGTCTTGACAAAACACCAGTCCCTTTCTCATCTGCTTTAGGCTTTGGATGGCCAAAATATCTATAATGCATGCTGCACTCTGCGTATTGACTTCTCCAAGCTCACCAGCCTTAATGTGAAATATAATAATGACAAAAGCAGAGACTTCACTCGCTTAGACCTTCCTACTGGTGATGGTCAGCCATCTCTTGAACCTCCTATGGCTGCTGCTTTTGGTGAGTAGTTCCTTTTTCAGTCACAAAGCAAATTTTCTCAAATTACAAGTTTCACTTACTGTTTTTATTTGTTTGTTTTGTGAAATAACAAATAGTGTTTTGCAAACTAACAGAACCACCTTATATTAAGGTTTAATATATGGACATATTTGTTCCATTACCACTTATGCTTTCATTTAGAAATCCCAAGAGCATCCAAGAAGAAAAAGGCATACATTAGTAAGTGAAACTTGAAAGGCATGGTGGCACACACCTTTAGTCCCAACACTCGGAGGCAGAGGAACGTGAATCTCTGTGAATTCCAGGCCAGCCTGGTCTACAGATCTAGTTCCAGAACAGTCAAGGCAACACAGAGAAACCCTGTCTCAAAAACAAAAAAAGCCAAACCAACAAAAAAAAGAGCAATAACTTTCAAATCAGTGTCCTAAGTTAGCAGTTTGTCTTCCCTATATTCAAACAATTGATTTTATCCTGTTTTACCTTAGCATTAGAACTTTGTCTTCATTTTAGATTATGTGATTATTAATATTTTACAATAAATAAACCCCTTGAAAATATGTGCTTTCTTACCTAAGCAGTAGAACTTTGTCTTCATTTTAGATTATGTGACTATTAATATTTTACAATAAATAAACCCCTTGAAAATATGTGCTTTCCAAGTTAGCTCTGCAAAAGTGTTGAAAAAGCTTCCCTCTTTTATTTAAAATAAAGTAAATCTTTATGGCCAGGTATGGTGGCACACACCTTTAATCAGGGACGAGAAGTAGGAAGATATGTGTGAATTGGATGTCAGCTTGGTTGGTGTACATAGTGATTTCCAAGACAGCCAGAACTATATAGACACCCTGTCTCTAAAAAAAAACAACAACAAAAATCTTAAGAAAGGTAGTCCTTTATGTTAAAGGCCAAAACTTTGATTGACTATCTTGCATGTATCGTTAGGTTAATTTTTAGTTTTTTATACCTTTAAAAAGTGATGTTTATTGTTCAGGAAAGTTAAATTTAAATGGCCTTGAGGTTTATTTTCCTCTGCTAAGTTTAACACCCTAAAATATTGTCTATACCTATAGTATTATTTAATCACCTCTCTTTTTTTCCTTCTCTTTCCCTTGCTTCCTTCCTTCCTTCCTTCCTTCCTTCCTTCCTTCCTTCCTTCCTTCCTTCCTTTTTTTTGAGATAGGGTCTTTCTATATAGCCCTGCCTATCTTGGAACTCACTGTGGAGACCAGGCTGGCCTTGGAACTCGCAGAGATCTGTCTGACTCTGCCTCCAAAGTGCTGGGATTAAAGTAGTATGCCATCATGAATAGCTCCAACCTCTTTTATATGTGAGAAAATTAAAGCATTAAAATAACTAATTGGTTTTCCAAAAATTTTCTAGAAAATAGTTTGTAATTTTTTTTTTAAGTAAAATACTTTTATCTTTGTCATTAGAAATTAGGACAAATTCAAGCTTGCCAGAACTTGGCTATTAAATACAGAACAAGTTTTATTACAATAATTGGGAAAATATTACAGAGAGGGGGGAGGGAGGGAGAGAGAGAGGGAGGAGAGGAGAGATATTTAACAAATATTCTGTTATGAAAGGAGTAGGGCTTTTGAAAAATACAGTTAAGAGGTTTTGGTTTCTGAGTATAACATACTGAAAAATAATGTCTTCATTTTCTCTAAATGTAATTTACCAGAGAAAAACATATTTCATGTCTTATATAAAAGTTTGTTCTTTAATATTTGACACAGATTCCCTGCTTGCTTCTCTTGGTTTGGAGACTACAGTCTCCTTTTCTCTTACATCACTTTAAAGGTGTGAATGTGCACCCATGTGTGCTCCTGCATGTGGAGGCCAGAATTTGATTTTACTTGTCATCTTCTGGCATTTTCCACCTTGTTTTCTGAGGCAGGATCACTCACAGAATCTTGAGTTCACTTACTTGCTAGGCTAGCTGGCTAGCAAGCCCTGGGGATCCTCTTGTCTCCATACCTTTCACTCAGGCCTTCATATTTGTACAGCAAGCACTTCATGAACTTTCTTAGCCCCTATAATGATATCTTATCATAATAGTTTTCATCATGATTAATAAAGTTGAGCATGTTTTCATTTGATACCCTTCTTTATAAATTTTCTCTTCAATTCTTTTCAGTTTTTATCTATCTTTGGAGAAGGCGTTGAGATAGGGTTTCTCTGAGTTAGCTCTGGCTTTCCTGGAACTTGCTCTGTAGACCAAATCCACCTGCTTCTGTATCTCAAGTGCCATGATTAAAGGTGTGTGCAACCACCACCCAGTGATGGGACTTCATATGATAGTCCTTTCTGTGTAGAAAGCTTTCTTGTTGGACTCCTCTTGGATTGCCAGCCCCCCAAATAACAAGAGGACATTTATTATTATTTATGAAAGCTTGGTCTCCAACCAGCTCATTTTTTGGGGGTGGGGGTAGTTTCGAGACAGGGTTTCTCTGTTGCTTTGGAGGCTGTCCATGGAACTAGCTCTTGTAGACCAGGCTAGTCTTGAACTCACAGAGATCCGCCTGCCTCTGCCTCTGCCTCCCGAGTGCTGGGATTAAAGGTGTGCACCACCACTACTTGGCTCCAACCAGCTCTTAATAACTCAGTTAACCCATATTTTTTAATGTATATTCTGCCATGTAGCTCTTTAACTTTCCTCAGTATATCATGTCCGACTTTCTCTGAGTCCGCTGGCAAAATCCATGGGCCTAGATTTCTCCTCCCAATTCCTTTCTCCCGGAAGTCCAGCCTTCCTCACCTGCCTGGCTATTGGTCATTCAGCTTTTTATTATACCAATCAGAAGGAGCCTCAGGCAAAGAAACATGTTTACAGTGTACAAAAAGATTATCCCATAACATTGGCTTTTATAAAATTTCTCCCTGTTTGGGCTTATTGATAGTAAAGTTATGTTTCCTTTATATGCTGTAATTGTTGTCCAGTGTGAGTCATCCTATTTAAAAAAAAATAGTTATTCACTTGAAGTTATAAAGATATTTATAGTGGGTATGGTAGTGCATGTGCCCAATACCCAGGAGGCTGAGACAAGGATTGTGAGTTCAAGATTGGCCTTAACTACATAGAGACCATTTCAAAAAAATAAGTATTTTTTCATAACAAAAGATCATTACTTATATTCTAAAGTTTATAGTATTTAGGTGGCTTTGTTTTTAAAATAACTTAAGCTGTAGGAATAGTATCAATTACTCCATATTTTTCAATTGTTAGTGTCATGCTTCATTTACTTTATCATTTGCAATTGTATTTGTATATATTTATAGCTGTGTCTCCTACTTGAAACCATTGGAGAGTAGGTTGCAAATATGATAGACGTTACTTCTAAATATTCACTGAATGTTTACTAAGAACAAAGATATTCTGTGTGTGTGTGTGTGTGTGTGTGTGTGTGTGTGTGTGTGTGTGTGTATGTGTGTATGTGTGTGTGTGTGTGTGTGTACTAGCATGCACAAATATGTTTTACTTGCCTGTGGAGGCCATAGAACAAACTTAGATATCATTCTGCAGGCACCATCTACCCTCTTTTCAAGACAGGATCTCTTGTTGGTATGGAGCTCAGCAGTTAGGCTAGGCTGACTGGCCAGTGAGCCTAGGTGTTTGTATCTGCCTGTGGAGGGCTAAGTTTCAAAGCATGCACCAGCAGGCTCAGCTTTTTAATGTGAGATCTGGGGTCAAATGCAGGGGAAGCACTTAACTATCTCATCCATCTTCTTCTCTCAGTGCCATTCATTAAAATTAACATTTTTAGAATATAATCACTATACATAGCTGTGTTGAATAATAACTAAGTATATGATACAATGCTGAATGATCACACCAGGATATTTAGTATTTCTTTGAATTGGGTAAAACTTTTCATAGTGCATGACAACTTAGAAATAGGTTTTGTCTCAATTTGTATTACCTTACTATTTAATTGTTACAAATAATTATTAATTTTTCTTAAAGTTTTGTGTAATCTCTTAATAAGATGAAAATAGGCTATTTTCTAGCAGATTATTTCCAACTAGAAATACAAATGGAAACAACTCATTCTTGGCTTGTACTTTTGCAATGTGCTTTCTTTCTCTTTATTTCTTGTGTAACTCCTGTTGATTGGCCTTCCCACATTTTCAATGTATTCCATAGAATTCTAGGGGTCACTGTTTGCCCCATTCTAAAGCTATTGTCTTTCTTTTCTGACTATAGGATATTTTCCTCCTGTCACTTTAGTCTTGAGCATCTTATTGTTGTATGCTCTTTTTACTGGAGCTTTTGTCTGTGGGCACTTATGGCTAAGTCAACATAATTACAAGTCTGTATGTTGCTTATAATAATTATTCCGAGTTTGCCTTGGTGTTTGCAGTTGGGTGTCTTACAGTCATCTCACACTTGATTCCTCCATTGGAACTGACTCTTTTTTGTCTTCCCTTTTTTTTTTTTTTTTTTTTAATTGACACTGTCGCCAGGCTTCCTACAGAAAAGACTGGCATTGCTTGTCTAAATGTACACAGTACTGTGTTTTGTAGTAACATACTGTCTAGCTCAAACTTTTCCTTAACTTGCAGATTTGTCTTTTCTAGTCCATCATGGTGAAGCCTCTGGGACTCCTCCTTAGTCCACTTCTGTATTATATGCCTGGAGGACTCTCAGCATGTGAATCTTTGTAGTTCATACTTATATCTCATAAACATCTCAGTGATAAATTTATCTCTTGTTTATTTAAACAGAATCACACCTTAAATTCATGGTCCTCCTGCTTCAGTAATGGAATTAAAAACATGTACCACAATGTCCAGCTTCATTATTTCTTTTCACCAGCCTAGTACTACTATTGAAGTACTATATAGTACACTTGAACAAGCATTTGATGGCTCTTCATAGAGGAAAAAATCCCTCTCTAGGTAAACACCGGAATCCTAGCCTAGTCCAGACTTAATTAACAGTTAAGCTATGCTCTCCATCCTTGAACCCAGTTGAAAAGGCTCAGCCTCTGGAGATAGCAGGGGCTTTTATACTTCAGGGATTACCTGCTGATCAACTGTATGATTTCATAATGGTTCAGTTCCACTTATAGTATTTTTTTCATATAGACATTTCATGTTGTGTTGATAAGCATAGTTAGCAGGCAGTATATTTATTGTAGCCTCTCTTCTTCACAGGTGCACCAGGTATAATTTCCTCTCCATATGCAGGGGCTGCTGGATTTGCCCCGGCCATTGGATTTCCTCAAGCTACAGGTGAATCTTTTCAGGTTGAATTTGAAATGAATCTTTAGATGAAATTCTTTGTCTTCTAGGAGCTCATACATATTTGAATATTTGAATGACTGAAAATAAAGGCATTTGGTGTAGCAACCATGGAGTAACTTATATGCTCAGCATCTTTATAATAACAAACAATTCTCTCTAGTTCCACTGTGCACTTAGTAATTCCACTGTGTGTTTTGAACCACTTAATTTCTCTTGGCATAAGTAACTATAGACTAATTACATTAAACTAGCCTTTGTCAAGTTGTTAAAGTGTATGATCTGCTTTATTCTTTATTGATAAGCTTGTTATGGGTTGAACAGATGTGAGTTTTACTCATCTTTGTTTCTTCAACACCTTTGAATGCAACATGCCCAGTAAAAATGCAAACATTGAACAACTTTGGAAAGTGTCTTACTGTTCTTGAGTTCTGAAGAGTATCAGTGAAGGGTATGAGTCCCCCCCCCCCCCCCCCGGTTATTTGAATACTTAAAGATTGGGAACTAGCCCTTACTGTCCTGTCCTGGAACTCATTCTGTAGATCAGATTAGCCTTGAACTCGCAGCAATCCTCCTGCTTCTACCCTCTCAGTACTGGGGCCCCACCACAGCCTGGTTTTGATGATGATTTTTCATTTGGTCATATAGTTGGTGGTTTTGTGTCTATAAACAGGTTTGTGATTAAGAAGTTGTATTCCATGAATTTGATTTTACATATTACATTCTGATTCTCAGCTAATTCGTGAGCTTAGCTATATTTTAAATTGTAGTATATTGCTTCTTTCTGGCAATAATTTTTTACTTCAATATTTCTGGAAATTTTAACTAGTCTCTTTGCTGGGGAGAATAGAATTAACTCAAGAAGAAGACTTGATTCTGAGATTAAAGTTTAAGTCCTAGTTGTTTGATGGTTTTAATATACTCTAAAACATCTCTATGTGACTGTTCTAGGTAATCTTTTTTTATTTTTAACAAAACAAAACAAAAATCCCATAGAGTTTGCTCGTTTGAATCTCCCAAATTTTAATTCTTGTGTATCTGGAAGTGATAGATTTGTTTACCTTAGTTTCATATGTTTTGTTTAGACACACTGTAGTTTAAAACTTAAGTATAATAATATACATTAAGGGGAATAAAAAAATTGGTGAATGTTCCTCATTTGGTAAGACTTAAAAGGCTAAGTAGAGCACACACACACACTGTATGTAGCTCTACTTTGAGCTGATATATGACTGACCTATAAACAGCAGCAAAAATTGGAAGGTTGGATTAGAAGTGACTCATATGATGGAAAAAGTTTACTATAAAAAAATTCACGCTAGATGTGGTGCACACCTTCAGTTGTAGTACTCAGAAGGCTGAGACAGGAGGATCTCAGAGTTCCAGGCCAGCCAGAGATATAAAGTGACCCTATTTTACCCCTGCCACCAGGGCATTCAGTTGGAGAATGCCATCTTCACAGTCTTAGAATGCTTAGATTGTCAAACAAAATAGGATGAATTTCAAATCTGTACGATTTAATTACATGTTGTATAATAGAGTGGTTAGTGCCTACAAAAAAAATGTTAAAGTGAAAGAGCCAAATTGAGACTGGAGATGTCGCTTAGTGATAGAATGTTTGCATAACATACAAGAAAGACCCTGGTTTCATTCCCAATAAATTGGCTCCTTTTATAGAACCAGAGGTTTCTATGTCCTTAAATACTTTTAAAGCAAAGATATAAGTAGTGGAGCTTCTCAGAAAGTACTATTTTAAGGATAGTGTGAATATAGAAGCCCTTTCAGTAGTTCACGACTATCTTGGGCAGTAAAAGTCCTAAAATAATTTATTTTATTAAAATAAAATAAATTTATTGTTGATCATAATCTACATATAGCACCTTGAATGGTTAAAAATATTTTTTAAATGAAAATATATTTTAAATATTTTAAAAATGGTTTTTCTATGGAAACAATACGTATTTGAAACTTATATTAAAGGGCTATATATTAACATATAATATATACATATGCATCATATAAATATCAGATAATAAATATATTGAGCTGATTTTATTTGTGGTCAATATGAAAATTACATCCACTTGACATGAAGAAAAGTGGTTACAGGTGATAGGCCCTCTATGAAGCTTAACTGATTTTTAAGACCAGTGAGTCCAGTTAGTTACTCTGCAGAGCACAATATGAATGGTATTAATTAAAGATAATGTCAACAAATAAGAAACTCATCTTTCAAACAGACTATGGGAAGAAAGCTGGGTTTGGGTAGCCTTTATGATAATCTGGAGTTGTTTTTTTTTTTAAATTAATGCTCACTTATTTAGCTTAAGTTGTATCTATCAAATGTTCTCCAGATAACTAGAATGTAAGAGCATACTTTTGTGTGTTTAAAAGGTCTATCTGTCCCAGCTGTTCCTGGAGCCCTTGGTCCTCTCACACTCACCTCCTCTGCTGTCACTGGAAGGATGGCCATTCCTGGGGCAAGTGGCATACCAGGGAATTCTGTTCTGCTTGTCACCAACCTCAATCCTGATGTGAGTTGCGAAATGGTCTTAAACAGTCTTCCAGGAAGTGGGGTGGTGGGTTCTTACATATAGTCTAGGTTTGTGTTAAAATGCTTAAGTTTGGACAGGTGGTGGTGGCTCATGCCTTTAATCCTCGCACTCAGCAGGCAGGTGTAGGCCAAACTCTTGAGTTTGAGGCCAGCCTGGTCTACAGAGTGAATTCCAGGACAGCCAGGTCTTTTAAGACAGAGTAATAACCCTGTCTCAAAAAACGAAACTAAAAAAAAGAAAGAAAAGTTTAAGTTTGTTTTAAGGATTCTGTGAAAAACACATCAGCAGGATATATAGAAACAAAACAGTGCTTTAACAGAATAAACTATCTTTATTACATTGTTTTAAAATTGTGCTATATTTCATTTTGTGTTGTCTTTTTCAGTTTATCACACCGCATGGGCTCTTTATTCTATTTGGTAAGTTCTTTTTTGTTTGTTTTTAATATCTGTAGATGTGAAATGAGTACATGTGATTCATTTAGTAATATTTGTTGATTACTTTTGCATGCTTAGTAATATGTTTAATACTGAGGATAGAGCAAAGATTATAATCAGGGAACTTAAGTTTATATAAAGCAAGGGGTACTTGTCTAGCTGGCTCAGTAGAAATGGTAGTTAGTTAAGCTGACTTGTGAAAAATGAGGAAGAATCATCAAAGGAGAGACATAGAGGGTATACATTTTCACAGACAGTTGTAGGTGGAGGTTTCCTGTCCCATGGTCGCTCTTGTTTGTTTTGGTTTTTTGAAGTTGGAGCTATGATGTACAAGAGTAGGAACTATACCTGTTAATCTGTTGAACTCATATTTATTTCATTTATCAATTTTTATTATTGTGTATATATGATATATATATATATATGAATACACACAAGCTGCAGCATACATACATATGAAGAAGGTTAAAGAACAACACTATAGTCAGTTCTCTCCTTCCACTCACTGGCCCTACGATCTTTTAAAAAAAAGTTTAACATTTATTTATTTACTTTATGTATTAAGGGCATATTTTTGTCAGTGTTCTGTTGCTGTGAAGAGACACTGACCATGGCAACTCTTACAATGAAAAGCATTTAGTTGGGGCTTGCTTACAGTTTCAGAAGTTATAGTTCATTGTCATGGTGGGAAGCATAGTAGCATGCAGGCTGACTTAGCCCTAGAAAAGCAGCTAAAAGAGTTCTACATTCAGATCTGCAGGTAGCAGGAAGAGAGAAAGACTCTGGGCTTGGAATGGGCTTTTTGAAATCCCCAAGCCCACCCCTGGTGACATACTTCTTTCAACATGGCCACACCTCCTAATCCTTTCAAATAGTACCACTCCTGGTGACCAAATCTGTGAGCCAGTTGGGCCATTCTCATTCAAACTACCTCAGGGCTTGTGCACATTGTGGTGACAGAAGCTAACTTGCTTGAATAGGCTCTGGCAAACTCAGGTTGTTGTTGGGCACCATCTCCAGACCCAAGGTTTTTTGTATGTGTTCACAGTTGCTCAAGGTTGCCACAGTCCAGTTTTAGAATTACTCCACCACCCAAAAGAAACCACTTAATGTTTCTCTTCAGTCACTGTCAATGTTGCTAATAGTGACACATGTAATTTATAGTTGTATAATATTTAATTAATACTGTATCTTTATATGACCTTTGTGTCTGAAGTAGGTTTTCTTTAAGAGTAAAATGCCTCTTCATTTAAAAAAGGAAATCTCCCATGTCTTAAAGAACAAATTGTATCTATTTAATTATGGGGGTGTTTTTTGGGTTTTTTGTTTTGATTTTTGTTTTGGTTTGGTTTGGTTTTTTTGAGACGGGGTTAGACAGGGGGAAATGAAAGAATTCTTTTTACATCATAGACCCTCCTGGCTTTCATTTTTGTAGAGTGAAAGTTCGTAATATGTAATTTTTCATGTTGGATTTTATTGTCTTCCCACACTCAGATTAATTATCTGGCCTGTCTTCTATGATATAGGACCCACTCAGGGAACCACTAACAATAAATAAATAATAAATAAATAAATAAATAAATAAATAAATAAATAAATTGGTGAGATGAGTTAGAAGGTGTTAGGGTAGTCCTTCAGTGCCGTAGTAAGGGTCACATTCTCATAACTTAACTGTTGTGAGAATGGAAGATGTGAACAATTTAGGCCATAAATTCCAAAGGTGATGGTGATTTAATAAAATATTTTAAGAAAGATTTCAAAAGTGGGTGTCTGACAGGAGCAATTGTGCGCATAGTGCTCCCTTTTATCTTTAGCCATTGCTGTTCAATGCTAGAAATAGGAAGAGGTAAGAGGAATTAATTCATTGGGGATATACTGAATTTGACGTAATTATAAGATATCTGTGACAGATTGGGAGATGAAAAGCTGTGAAACTTACTAAGACAGCATGCATGAAATTGTCACGGGATGGTATGTAGTAAGAAGAAAGAAACCTGCAAATACATGGGTAAAACTAAATACACTATAGCTAGGTATTTAACTGCAGTGTTTTGTGATTTGTTTTAATTAGGAGTGTATGGTGATGTACATCGAGTGAAGATCATGTTTAACAAGAAAGAAAATGCCTTGGTGCAGATGGCAGACGCAAGTCAAGCTCAGCTAGGTACATTGGTGATGCCCATTTTATTTTGCATATGAATTTTCCTTCAGAATAAGCAATGTAGAACTAGTAGGGATGTAATTTTGCAGCAGTACTTCCTTATGATAGTGTTTTTCTTATCATTTGCACCTGTTTTACTTGAGGCTCTGAAGTTCATTATCTAAAACAAACACAGTACATTGTCAGTGTTTACAGTTTGGACTCTAGGACTTTCCCATTCACTTTAAACTAATAAATAAACATGACTTGTTTCATGTGTCTGTATGGGTCTTCACTTTTAAAAGCTGAAAAATTGCATGATCTGAAGAGAAATGAGAATATTCTCTTCCTTCTATATTAGATTTTCTAGAGCTATTGAGTAATTGAAAAGTGGCATATTTTTTAGTAATGGTACAAGAATATGTCATTCCCTGGCCACTAAAATATAACTACTCAGATGTCTTACAAAAAATGTTTTGCTTAAGACAAAAGTATATAGTCAATAACCATTCCTTGAGACCTTGTTGTGTTCTATGTCTGGAGCTTCCTAGAACTCTGCTCAGATGTTATTTAATTTGATTGGGTTAATTTTTAATTGCTTTTATTATAACAAAGTGAAGTGTTTTCTTCTTATGAGCTCTTGGATTTTTTCTTTTCTTTTTTTTTTTTTTTTTTTTTTTTTTTTTTTTTTTCTTTTGGTTATTTTTGAGACATGGTTTCTCTGTGTAACATGCCTGGCTGCCCTGGAACTCACTCTGTAGATCAGGCTAGCTCAAACTCTCAGAGATCTATCTGCCTGCCTCTGACTCCTGAGTGCTGGTATTGAAGGCATGTGCTGCCACCACCCAGTTCTTGTGTTTTGTTTTTTTTTAATTTGTAGAATCTTATATGTATGGGTATTTTGTCTGCATATTTGTTAATGTGCCACATATGTACCTGGTGCTGGCAGAAGCCAGAGATGGCATTGGATCTCTTGTTGAAGTCGACATGTACATGCTGAACACCGAACATGGGTTTTCTGGAAAAAGCAAGTACTCTTAACCTATGAGCCATCTCTCCAGCCTTTGAGCTTAAACTGATTAGAATTTTAAATGGAAAAAATGAAAAAGAAAATGGTAACATTATTAAAAATCTCAACATAAAAAACAAGCACACAAACAAAAAGAGTCTAAGTATTCAAGGTTTCCTTATTTTCTTCCTATACAATAGCAATGAACCATCTAAGTGGTCAGAGACTTTATGGAAAAGTACTTCGTGCTACACTGTCCAAACACCAAGCAGTTCAGCTCCCTAGAGAGGGACAAGAAGACCAAGGTCTGACTAAGGACTTCAGCAATAGTCCCCTGCATCGCTTTAAAAAGCCTGGCTCAAAGAACTTCCAGAATATCTTCCCACCATCAGCCACTCTGCATCTTTCCAACATTCCGTATGTATCGAATAAGTTATTTTGGTGATTAATCTACAATATGTGGTTTAGGAGAAGCAAAAGCCATAAAATTGTTCTAAACTTAATTAATCTCTTGGTTGCCAACTTCCTTTATGTTCTGTCATGCTGTGAAGAGCCTATATTTCCAATCATATCCTTTTTAAAAAAACCTTTTTAAGGATTTATCTATTCATTCTTACTTTATGTGCATTGGTGTTTTGCTTTCATGTATGTCTGTATGAAGGTATCAGATCCCCCGGAACTGGAGTTACAGACAGTTGTAAACTCCCATGTGGGTTCTGGGAATTGAACCATATCCTATGAAAGAGTAGCCAGTACTCTTAACCACTGAGCCATCTGTACAGTCCCTAATCATACCCTTAAAAGTGAAATTATTATCAGCATTTGGTATTTTCAAAGAAGGAATTTTAAGTAGTTGCTTTTCTGTTTAAAGTAGGCATAAAAATAAATTTAGATATTCCTAAAATTAGTAGATATTTGTCCACTCCTTTGTAGAAGTACAACTCATAGGTAATACAGCAACATCAAACAATCTGTCTAAAAATTTGACTGAAGTATTCTGTGACATGAGAAAGTAACACAAGATGTAAATATGGTGTAAAACCACTGTGCTCATTCATTTACACAATATCTTTGTTGCCTTGGAGCTACTTAGGAAATTGAGTACTTGCAACAGATTGTATAGTTCACACATAGCATGAGATACTCAGTGTCTGACTCTTCAAAGAAAATGTTTATTGTAATTCCTTAATATTAAAAAAAGCAATTTTGTCTACTTTAAAGATACTCATGAAAGGGGGAAGCTTTGGAACTAGTGCTAAAATTTGTGGGTACCCCACCCCCAAAATAACAGGCTAGACAGAAAGCCATTGAAGAGAACTCCAAAAAATTGTGATGAGGATACTGAAGTGTATGTAGCTCTCCTCAATTGTTGGCTTCTGGTGGAGTTGCAGGGGGGGGAAGGACTCAATTTTCTTTAGGGGACTGGCTACCAGGAGTTTGACTATGCTCTGGTGAGTATATGGGCAGGGCAGCACAGTATGTGGCTTCTAGACAGGTTTTCTCTGTGTAACTTTGAAGCCTGTCCCAGAACCCTCTCTGTAGACCAGCCTGGCTTCAAACTCATAGAAATCTGCTTCCCTCATGCTGGGATTGAAGGTGTATGCCATCACTGCCTGGCTTTCTTCCTTTTTTGGGGGGGGGGGGGCAGGTCACAAGGGCTTGACGATGTTTCTGGGAGGACTGGGAAGTGAGTGTCCTCTGAGTTTATCATGTGAAATTCCCAAATATCAAAAAAGCATTATGAAAAGAAAAAAAGGAAGAGAAGTTGTGGGAGTATGTATTTATATATTTATGTGTGTACAGTTTAAAAACTAAGGGAATGCATGGGTTAAGTTTTAGAACATAATTGTAAGAGCCCCAGCTAATAGGAAAGAAAAATAATTACTCAAAAATAGTACTGACTGCTCAGTTTCTCTGCTGGTGTACAGTCAGGCTTGATGAGAATCCATTCATCTGAGTTAGGCATTAAAATCAAACCTCATGCCAACTAGGCAAATGGAGGGAGTCACTTTAAGAAGTGAATTCCTGCCGGGCAGTGGTGGCGCATGCCTTTAGTCACAGCCCTGTGCAGGCAGAGGCAGGCCGATCTCTGTGAGTTCAAGGCCAACTTGGTCTACAATTCGAGTTCAGGACAGGTTCCAAAGCTACACAGAGAAACCTTGTCTCAAAAACCGAAAAAGGGGTGGGGGGAGGAGGAAGGAAGGAATTCCTGTGGGGTGATGGTGAGTTCCAGGTCAGCCTGGACTACAGAGCGAGTTGCAGGACAGCCAGGGCTACACAAAGAAACCCTGTCTTGAGAAACCAAATAATAAAAAGTATCAGCTCATCACCTTGGTATATGTGCTGTGTGTGTGTGTGTGTGTGTGTGTGTGTGTGTGTGTGTGTGTGTGTGTGTGTGTTTAGTTGGTTGGTGGGTTTTTGTTTAGTTTTGTTTTTTAATCTCTGCACCCAGTTGTCATGTGTGGTTAGCAAGTTCTCTACCATTGAACTACACACCCAGTGCTTTTTTTTTAACCCTGAGGTTTTTCAAACTTTTAGTATTATGCTCAGCTTATTTGTTCCTTAAATATAGCAATTAGGCAGGAGCTGGTGAGAAAAATAACATTAGTATTTCTGACTTGAATCCCATGTTCTAGGTTCTGTGCTAGTGCTTTACATGTGTTACCTTATTTTATCTTCATAAATGTTTGTTTTTTAATCTAAAATGTATATGATGACATTGATTATTCTGGCTGCTTTAAGTATATAGTGCAGTGCATATTCCCATTAAAAATTTCATATTTTTGTGTTAACTGTCCATTCCTATTCTGCATTGCCTTTTTATCATCCAAATTGAACCTGTCCCATTAAGTAGTAACACTCTGCTCTTCTGAGAGCTCTAGTCTGGTAACTGTTCTACCTCTTACCAGTTTATCCATAATAGTTTTTGAAATAAGGTCGTTTGTTTTAGTGTATTGATGGAACTCAGACTCAGAATAATTAATTCAAATGGATATACAAGTGAGTAAGAATACAGTGTAAGCACAGATCCTGTTTCCTGAAGAATCAGTGATTGTTACATTTTGCTTGTCTTTTGATCATGTAACTACGTGGTAGACCACCGCACTTGTTATTTATTACTATAAAACATTACCCCCAAACTTAGCATAATATTAAATATTAATTATGTCATACTTATAATAGGAATGTAGAGGTGGCTTAACTGAGTGATCTTCTCTGAGTATGTCTCATAAGGTTGTAGACAAAATGCAGGCAAAGAGGTACCAGGGAATGTAGCTCAGTGGTAGAGTATGTACTTGTCATGTGGAAAGCCCTGGATTCAGTTCTTGGCAGATACTGCCATTTCTATACAACCCTAAGGGTTACAGATGACATTGCTGTGCAGTATGAGAGGAGAATAACCCAGGTGTAAATATTCTCAGAAACTGGCTAATGCATACACATTCTGAATTACCTTGAAAGCAATAAAAAGCAATAAAAAATATACCTGAGCTATAGCAGGTAAATCAGAGCTGGGGAAGTAACTTTGGCATTACTAGCATTACTAGAGTTAATTACTAAAGCCAGTAATCATTTTGAAAAAATACATACAGTTGTTTTTTGTTTTGTCTTTATATACTTTCCACTATCTACAGACATATGTATCAATCTTGTCTTGTAACTTGGAAAACATTGTTGGGGTGTAAAGTACTCTAGAGATTTGATGATAATCAGAGCTCACCCTTGATTGTCTTGCAAATAGGACTAATGTAGTTGACACTCTTGATATTTTTGCAGCCCTTCTGTTACAATGGATGATTTGAAGAACCTTTTTACAGAAGCTGGATGCTCAGTGAAGGCTTTTAAATTCTTTCAGTAAGTTCTTGCTTTCAACAGTAGTTAACATTATTAAATATAATTTTTCAAAGTAGTTCAGCAAAGTCCTTTGGTTGAAGGAGAAGGTTTAAAAGCAAATTTAATTCTAAGTACTTTTATATTTCTCTTGTCTTAGGAAAGATCGTAAGATGGCACTCATTCAGTTGGGTTCTGTGGAAGAAGCAATCCAGGCCCTTATTGAGCTTCACAATCATGATCTTGGAGAGAATCACCACCTGAGAGTTTCCTTCTCAAAGTCCACCATCTGAGCTCTCTGTGAATTTTAGACTGGACCATAATTTCAGTAAAGTCTTCAGGCACAGACTGAAGCAGCTCAAGACCAATTCTGCCTCTTTCACAAAAGTAACTCTTTGGGAGTTTGATTGATATTCAAGTACATTTAAAACAAGAGATACTTCTTTTTTTCTGATTTTCTCACCAATGTATGATCAAAGGTTTGCTTTTCCTTTGTACTGCAGTTTCTATGAAAATAACTTTCAGGAAAAAAGATCAGGAAAATATTTTTTAAATAATTTAATTCCCTGAATTAGATTTCAAAAGGATGGACTTTAAGTTTGAGTTCAGATCAGCCTTACATGACATTTCTAATATCCTTTGTACTTTGAGGAATTTAGACATACAGACTTTTACAATTTCTTGATGTAATTTAAACCACTTACAACCAAGTTTTTAACTTTATGATTCAGAAGTTTCCCTGTGGAAAATGTTCACTTATAAATTATATCAGATATTTGCATCTATTGATAGTTATTATATATAACCACATGGAGTTATATTGGAAGCAGGTTTATAAACATGCATGCTTTCTTTCAATGTTTTTTTTTTTTCCACTGTATGACACTCCTTTGAATAATGTGTATCTTCTCTTTCAAAGACTATTTGGAAAAGCAAAGTGTTGCAATTGTCTCCAGGGATACATAAGTGGGATTCAGCCTGAATCTGTTAAAATATCAGCATAATTAATCATTTTAGGAAAAAAAATCATGTTTTAAATTTCAAAATGACATTTGTCAAGTAATGTAATGTGATCTTGGAAAATTTTAAAAGAAAAATAATCCTACTTTTTTATAATTGTTTTCAGAAAAAAGTTTACAGTCTTAAGGAAAATATTCAGGTCTATCATATGGTTTGACAGATTTTTTAAAAGTTATTTTTGGTAAGGTCTTCTTTTAGAAAAAAATCTCAAGGGTTTTTTGTACCACTATAATCTCTAATACTCAGAATTACTGTGTATTTACTTAATTTCTTATTATGTGCCTTATTATGTGCTTAAGATATAATAGATTAGAGTTTTATCTAAATATCTAGAAAGATAAATTGTGGGCTTGAAGAGCATTCTGTTATTTTTTCCTTGTCTTGGATTTTAAGGGTTCCCTCCCCTTTTTTCATTTCAATTTTAAGTGGTTTTCAATAAGTAATAGTTTTTATTCAGATTTTTGGTGCTTTGGTGTAGAGATGGGATAGAGAAGGGTGAGTGGTTTGGGAATAACTTGGTGTGCACCTGTAGGCCTCTGTTGTGACTGCTGGTTGCCTCCAGCCTTTATGTAAAGTAGAAGCTGCAGAACTGTCTTAGTTCGCATCTGTCTGACATTTACCAGCTGTTAGGATTTGTCTCAGGATTACTTGGTTCTTTCTCAGCACTCAAGTGAGAACTTGATTTTCTTTGTTAGTGGAACTCATTATTGAATGCCCACATATTTGGAGTATGAGAAAGTGGGTTATTTTTTATACTCTGACCCTCTTAATTTTTTTGGTTGAATGTAAAGTACATGTTAATGTTGCTTCAGAGATTGTTTCATGTAAAATTGTTTCTTTTTAATATGAAACTGCTTTTGTTAATTATTCCTTCAATGCTTAATCAGTTTTTACAATACAGAATTTGTCAAAGGGATCAATTTTGTCCACCCTCTTTCACTTTTAGTATTCTCAGAGTTGATCATCTCATCTTTTAAAGAGTATCTCAGACTTCTATTTTCAGCCATTAATTTTTCTTTAAAAAAAAAAAAAAGAAAAGAAAAAGGTTTTATAGAAATAGAAGCTGAAAGAGATAATTGTAGATTGTTCAAAATCAAATCAGAATTCCCTCAATAGGAAGCAACAATTGGTAGAACATGCAGAGATGCTCAGTTGGGACAATTCAGATGGGTCACCTTAGTATTGGCTGAATAGATACTCACGGTAATTGTACAGTTGGGTGTTTTCCCACTTAATATTTGAGGTATATTTTCACCTAAATACTGAATAAAGGAGGGGGGGATATTGGAACAGTCTCCCAAATTTGCTTTTTTCTTATCACAAGACACTATATTAATTTTCAGTGACATTTTAAATTGGATTGCTTCTTTATTTTGAGTTGGGAACTACTATGTAGTTTATTAATTCATGACATGTAACATCCAGCATAAGTGTAGCAAAAGTTATTGATAACAGAAGGGAAATTATAATAGTGTTGAATGTAATTCTGAAGTAGGGATGGCCTTTAAATCTGAGAAAACATTGAAATCCTTTTCAGGGATTTGTGTAGATATGTGTGCGTCTGTGTGTGTGTGTGTATAAATAAGTGTATGTACATACATATACTCTTTTAATGTTATATATACATATGCACATTACGTACATTTTAATTTATTGACAAAATTAACAAAATTAAGATTTGGGAACTTAGGATATACTTTAAAAGAGCATGTTTGAAGTCATCAGATTGTGTCTAAAATTAGCTGTAGCATATGGATACTGTCCATATTGAGCTCTTTATTGTTTGAATTATAGAGGTCTTCAGTATTTTTGTTGGCATAGTTTTAAATATTGGGGTGGTGGAAAATTTGATCTTTGTATTTTTATTTTGGCATGCACTATTCAGTATCTTTTAAGCAGTGGTTTATTTTTGCTGCTGATCTTTGAGAATGCCTTGATGAGTTAACTTACTTTATTTTGAGGAGTGTTGTCATACCACTTTTCAAGGTATCCTAACTTTAACAAAGAAAGCATATAGAAATTCAGGACTTAAGGAAATAGCAGTACACGTTTAATAATAGCACTGTATAGCAAAGTGTTTTATTTTGTTGTTTGGATAACTCATATACTGGTAAAATATGTTTTGTGACATAAGAATAGACAAATCATGTTTTCTCTTAATTGACAATTTGCTAGAGTTTCAGGATTACCCATATCCCCATAAATGACATGAGATATTGAGAACTAAATACTAGAAGCCGTTTTTTGTAGCAGTGTTTGAACTGAATGTTTTGGAGTCACAGTTCCTTCTTTGTTTTTACCTCCTGTGGTGATTAAGGGCCCTGTTGAAATTTAGGGATTAGCCCTTATGAGCCAGGTATGGTAACATACAACTATAATCACAGCACTGAAGGAGGCTGAAGGTTTTGATTTTAAACCCAGCCTAGACTGCAGAACAAATTCCATGCCAGCCTTGCTACATAAGACCTTGTGTCCCCATCTCCCCCAATTTAAAAAAAAAAAAAAAAAAAAAAACCTCTTAGGAATCCACAAAGTGTCAATTTTTAAAGACTTCATTTCATGGGGCAGAACATTTGTGTCTGAATATAATTATAATGTAGTTTCTCTTCTAGTTCCATTAAATATTCTTGGACAGAAAATGGCAAACTCAGAAATGATGATCTTTTGTGCCTCAAACTTATCTCTTAGAAAACCCAGGGTGTACTGCTATTTTTAAAACCAAAAAGCATGCCTGTGATCAGAGCATTTTTCTCAGCTTTTCCTTTGTCTTGATCTATTGTCAATGAGAATAAAACTGCCACACTTAAAATATTCACTGTTGTGCTAAAAGAAACACAATTTAGATTGTATATAACTTAAAGTGTAACTCAGCTGTCTTTTAAAGGGTTTTTTAAGGTAGAAGACTGTTTGCAGTCTTTTTCAGAGCAAATCCTAACAGGTACTTATGAATTGTTTTTTTTAAAAAATAGAAAATTACAGAAATGTTAATAATTGGGGGCGTGTAAAAGAGAAAAACAAAACAGGACCAAAGTTTATGTGCCTTCTGTAGTCTTAATTGACCTTTTCTTCATATTTGAGCCTAAGGTAGCATTGGTATTTTGATTTTTCAGGAAATATGTATTTTACAGTTTAAGAGAATGTTGTCCCACAAACTAGTTATACAAGCAAATAGTTATAACTGAATAAGCAAAATCTCAGTTACACTTTTGCCTTCAGTATATAATATGGAGCATTATATGGTGGAAGAGTAGAACTGCCCCTCAGTCTTTGTAGTAGTCACCTTAGCTCTAGCAGGCTGAGACAATATGCTCCAGTGAGCAGGGGCCTTGGCGACGATGACAGTCATGCCTGAAAAATGCTGATGGCAAACTACACTTAACACTGTCAACAGAGTTTTGTTATGTTTTTAGTAGTTGTAAGAACAGGTATTTTAAGTAGTTGTTTTTGGTGTCATTAACCCAGCAAACTCTAGTCTTTTTTTTTTTTTTTCTTCCCTTACCAGACTTTAAAAAAAATACATCCCATATCCAGGAAGTACTAATTACAAAGATTGCTGACCACACCAAGTTATACATTGAAATGTCACCTCATTGCTCTGACCAAAGACTGCCTGTTCTGGTTTTAACTCATCTGTGAAGCATTTTCCATGAGCTCTTTTCTGAAAGATCCCAGGCAGAGCGAGCGGCCTTGACTTTCCATTTCCTATTGATGAATAGACTGCTTAGAGAAAATGGGAATTTTACTGTGAACAGAATGGAGTGGGACAACAAAAATGGATGTTCATTTTCAGTACTGTATTTGAGGGGGAAATAGCACAGCTAGAAGCCTCTAACATTGTCTAGTGTTTTACATGGTCTGTTCATAAAATTCCCTTTTTCTGTTTGTAAGAATGTTCATCTAACAGAAGAAAATGCTGTAAATATTTGTAACATTTTTTTGAAAAAGGCCAAAAAGGAAAAAAAAAAAGTTTTTTGGGAACAAGTTAACATATAAAGTGGTTTTATAGAAAACAGCGATTGTCTTGTATATTTTGATAAGCAGCAGTACCAGATTTCATTTGTAATACAGTTTGTGGTATTGGAAGAAAAGGATTCTGTGATTGTCTAAGTGAATTATGTTATAAATGCAAAGAGGAGAAAATATTAAAAACCATATTTTCTAACTGTGTAGTGCATGGTTAATTCAAGGTTCTGTACACTACAATATTGGTTCCGTTTTCCTTCAGTTTGTATATTTGATACCTGTTACTTGGAATCTCAGTCTCTTTTCCTAACAAGTATAGCATTGTAGCATGCCTTTTAATAAATGTCATGGCATCTGTACTCTCTTAAAATTTTTCTGTGTTCTTGTCTGTGCTTTGGGTTCCCCTTGTCTTGCCTGTAATTCTAAAGATGTCATATTTTCTTTTATTTCCCATGGCCATCCATCTCAAGTTATCATTCTGGATAGCAAATGCTTAACTTTAAAAACTGGAATTTAAAGAAGAAAAAAAAAAGCCAAAGTCATCTGCTCTTCTGGTATAATTCTAATTTTAAGGAGCAAAGCACTCCTCTGATCTTAAAATACCCCATCTTTTTGGGATATTCTCCTCCATTGCACACACAGACTTCTTCCTCTCCCCTACCTTTGCATATAGCTTGAGACAGTGTGGCCTTCAGTGAGCCTCTGTCGTTTGAGTTAAAGGTTAACAGTTATTAGCTGGCTGGATATTGCTTTTCTGTAGACAAACACTTTGCTCCTTAGTTCTGTAAAGTATTATTGGAGTTCAGGAGTCTTGATTGGTTATGTCTGTTTTAATCTTTTACTCAAAGATCTATAGGAAGTGGGCATTTATCTTTAACAAAATAGAAAATTTTGATTGTGAAACTCATACACAGCAGAGTTATTACTGGAACCATGCCACTTTGGAGTGTGAGAGGATTAAGAGACCATAATTAAGTTTTCAGTTAATTACAGCGTTCTACTTGCCTTCATTCAGTATACTGTTTGCTGCATGTAGCTGCTATGATTTTATATTCCCAAGCACTGCTAATAACGTGGTCATGAAGGTCTACAGTGCTGGTATGTGTGTGTGTTTGGGGGGGGGGCACTTAGGTTTCTCTGAGAACTACCAAAAACCAACTTAAAAGACACTGAACAGAGCAGGGCAGTGGTGGCACACACCTTTAATTCCAACATTTGGAGGCAGAGGCAGGTAGATGTCTGTGAGTTCAAGGCTAGCCTGGTCTACAGAGTGAATTCAAGGACAGCTAAAAGGACACTGGTTAAGGTGCTAGGAGATTTTTTTTTTTTTTTCTGAAGGCTAAAAAATTTAAACTGACAAAGTAGTTTGGTATAAAGATTTAAGGAAACCCTGCTCTTTAAATTTTCATCCCTCACAGTAGTAGGACCTAAAGATGAAAGTCTTTCAACTTCTGATGGGAATTTGACACTGTTTCTCTTCATGTGCAGTTTTTATTTCTTCTGGTACTAATTTTCTTGCTGTGTAGCTTTGTGGTCTTTGTATGTCTTCCTGTAGTCCTCCTTTCATTTGTGTCTGTGTCCTGATCTCTTATAAGGCCAGCAAGCTAGGTGTACCGACATGTGACGGTTGTCACTGGAGAAGCAGGGATTTAAGTAGCACTTGGGTACTTTGTGGAGATGCAAGCAACAGGATGGGCATGATTAAGGCCCACCCACCCAGTTTCACTTTACTCACAGAAAGGTCAGACTCGAAACACAGGCATAATCTGAGATTTGAGGAGCTAGATTTTAACATGTGAATCAGAACAGATGTGCACAGTTCAACCCACAGCACTGGTTAAGTGGAATTACTCTGGGTACCATAGACTGCTTATGCCAATGGTCGAGTTAGGTGCTGGGAAAGTAGGCATTAAAGGAATGTGACTTGGGAAGATACACTTTTTTTTTTAAATATTTTATTTATTATGTATACAACATTCTGCTTCCATGTATATCTGCACACTAGAAGAGGGCAACAGCTCTCATAATGGATAGTTGTGAGCCACCATGTGGTTGCTGGGAATTGAACTCAGGACCTCTGGAAGAGCAGTCAGTGCTCTCAACCTCTGAGCCATCTCTCCAGCCCAGAAGATACACTTTTAAGTGGCTATAAAGACCATCTGACTATAAATCAAATAAATACCTTTAAAGTTCCAAAGCTGCATGATAGTGTGGTCACTGTTCTGCCAAAGTACAGATGGTTGAAGTTGCCATTCAGCTAGCTAATCTTGTTATGTAGCAATACATACCCTGTAACAATGGTGGACTTTTACTCTAGAAATAAGCCATTTGAGCCAGGCAGTGGTGGTGCTCTTTAGCCCTAGCACTCAGGAGGCAGAGGTAGGTAGTTCTGTGAGTTCGAGGCCAGCCTGGTCTACACAGAGAAACCCTGTCTCAAAAAATAAAAAAAAGAAAGAAGAATCCACTTGAAAGCATTCATTCTTGTTCAGATGCCATTATTTGGAGAACAAATAATGGAGTAAGAGGACACACTCAAGCTGAGTCTAGTTTTTAATCTGCAGTGTGTTGATAATTGGATGGGTTCTGGGTTAGATATGCCTAAATGTATTAAAGTTGTTTTGTGTTTGTTTTGGTGGGGTTTTGCATGACATTCCTATATCATGCTCTTTTTTTCTATTGTCATTAAATGGATGGAAATTTGTCTTTTTTTTTAAGATTAAACTGATAAGATTAGTGGTTTCATGGAACTTACTGAATTTCTGAACCATTGGTATTCAGCATAGAATTTCCAACTCTACTAGTCTAATGAAATACTTAGAAGCCGGGTGTTGGTGGCACACGCCGTCAATCCCAGCTCTTGGGAGGCAGAGGCAAGTGGGTCTCTGTGAGTTCAAGGCCGGACTGGTCTATAGAGCGAGTTCCAGGACAACTTCCAAAGCAATACAGAGAAACCCTGTCTTGGGGGAAGAAAAAGAAAAAAAAAATAGGAAAGAAGTTCTTAGCCAAGAAAAGATGGGTAAAATTCTGTGAAGATGTGTTAATAGTTCTTTTTGGAAGAAATTGCCCTCTGTGAGATTTAAGTCAGCACCTATACCTTTGCCTAAGGCTTATGGAATTTGCAGAATTTTTGATCTTGGGAGAATACAAATGTCAAGTTCTATTCTGTATAGAAATTGTCTTTAACAAAAAGAAAGCTGATGTTGAGTATCTAAATTTAAAGGTATAGGTACTTATTTGGTTTCAAAGTACACTTTATAGAGATAAAGGGATGATAGGATATTTACATATGGAACTGTACTGTGCTACAAATAAATACTATATACTACATGGAAGAGTCTCACTGATGGGATACCAGTCAGTCAAAGGAAGCTATACATAAATGGCAACTTGAGTCCGTGTTTGCGTCAGGCTCAGGAATGAACCTTGGAATTTCCTTGGCAAAGGAGGTAATTAAAAGTGTATGAGGAGGGGTCTCTGGTGTTTGGTTAATTAGTGGTTTGTATCTTATACCTCTGACCTCTGTAGCAGCTGCCCAGGAATGTTTACTTTCTGACATCTTTGTACAGTTAAGATTTATGTGTTTCTGTGTTACACTTTAATGGGATTTTTTAAGAAATTGCTATATCAAGCTAAAGGCTATAATCCAATCTATGTTGCTTAAATCAAAGAACTCAAAATGCCATGGACTAAGTTCACTGTGAGACTCTCATATGTGTGTGTGTGTGTTGTTTCCCTAACAAAAGAATCTTGTTTTCAAGTAAAATTTGTCTTCTGAGTAGTTTTATATACAGCTAGAATCAGAAGTAGTACATTTCTATCCATATTAGCTTTGTATTTGCAACTGTAAACCTGATTTGGTGGGCTCTTGATCTCTGACCAAATGTATTTCTATCTAGAGGAACCAGGAAGACTACTGTAGCATACTGAGAGACTATAGTAAGAAGCTTAATTAAACTTATCACTTAGATTCTTAAACATATACACATATAATATGATAAAGCCCTATGGATCTAGTGTCTAACTGTAGTTACTTAGCTGTGGGGTAATCAGTGTGGGGCCTTATGCAAACTAAGCAAGTATTCTACGGCTGAACTCACCCTCACCCCTCCCCAGGCTTCTTTTATTTGTATTTGTTTATTTTGAGGTTGAACCAAGGCCAACATGTTTGCTAGGCAAGTTCTTGCTTGCTGAAATCAAACTCAGTCACTCCATCCTGATCACCAACTAATGGCTGGCCAGTAGTTTCATTTCTTTCTCTTTTTTGCCCACCCCAGGGTTATTTTTAAACAATTCAAGTCCATATTAAAGTGCAGCTGTCAATTCTGCAGCTTTTCTTTCCATTATTTTCTTTGTATTTTGTTTGTTGAACTGAGCTCTTGTAAAAAGCCTTCTTTCACTGTCTAGATTTTGCTGACTGGATTTCCCACTGAAAATTGGTCACTCACTCAGACTTCATTTCTCTCCTTCCCTGCCTTTCTCCTTCCTTCATTTTTGGGGGGCAAGAATACTTAACAGATGACAGTGTGTCCTGCCTTATGATAACAGTAACCATTGATAATCATTTCCTAGCTTCACTAATTTTTAGGGACTACAAAATGGTAAAATTGTGTGGTGTTGAGGATTAAACCCAGTCATGACCTTTGACATGTTAGGTGAGTGCTTACCGATGAATTACATCCCCAGATTGCAAAGTTATAATTCTGTTGCTTATTTGTGTGTATTAATTGGATTGATTCTGCTTAAGAAAATTTTCTTGGTACCATGTATTTAATATTCAGAGATATTCAGTCCCAGTAGCAAAGCAAGATAAATTCCTGGAGGCTTGTTTGTTTTTTGTAAATTATTTTGGTTCCTGTCATATTCCAAAACTTTTCCCTTAAAAAAAAAAAAGCAAACTTGTGTATTTATGATGGCAAAGACTTGTATAATTAAGCTTTGTTTCTGTCACTCAGTTAATGCAATTCATGGTTATTATTTTATATACCCCACACTTCTTTCCCCTTAGTAGGAGGAGCATGGCCTTGTGCAGAAGACCTGTATGTAGTGGTTATATGTTGAGTAGATCTATAATTACTTGCCATTTGTTTTTCATGTGTAAGAGCTGGTGGCATGCTCCCCTCCTTTCCCTTGGCAGCCACCAGCCACTGCCTCTGAAGTCAAAGAAACCATGATCAATAAGACTAGACTGATACCTGATAAG